TTTGAGTAAAATTTGAACGGAAATTACCGATCATAATATGATTGCAGGAAGTCAAACTAATACTGTTCGTATCACACATAAATATCACCGCTGAACGGGGGAGAATTACCAAGAATTCTAATCGATTCTTCAAATATTATTTTTGTTGTTATTTTGGATTAATTTTAAGAAGAAGTAATGCTATTTTTTTATAGAATTATTTTAGATGATAATAAGTTTATTGTGAATTATTTAATATATTTTACTGCTAGCGCTGCCCAATTTGTTTAAGTTTAATTTCATAAAAGATAACATTTCCGTAAAGTTAAAATTTTTTGCAAAGAATTTGATATAAATAGGAAATTTAATCATTTTTATGAAACTCAAAAGATAAAAACTGATTCAGTTCTCAAGGAAAACACATGGCGAATTGTTGTTGACATTTGTTCCAGCCGGTTCTACACTTTCACCGATTATTTTGTTAATTCATTTCATCTCTATGTCGTAATCAATGTGAATCTAATTGATATATCAAAATCAATGACAACTACAACTTCTTCAGGTATTAGTTGTAATTTTCTTATTGTTATTGATTATATCTTTTAGTGATATAACAAAAAAACTTATTTATTTGTAATTTAATTAATTCGGAAGGTAAAAAAAAAAAATATGAAATTAATTAATACCATCGAATTACTTATCTTTTTGTTTCATTCCATCATAGGTTGAGTTATACTAATACAAATGGTTGAAATATTCGCTTTTACTTTGCCTAACCTATTGTTTCAATTTATTCTCACCTAACCAATAAATGGGAATTGACTGAATTTCTCTTTTAAAAGATTATAATAATGAAAATTTTTTCCGTACTATTTGCACAGTTAATATTTCTCTACTAGAAATCTTTTTAATAATTATCATGTAAATTAAATAAGTTACTCAAGCAATAACTCTTTAAGACTAAATTTCGATCTTGAAATTATGAACTTATTCATTTACTGATAAGCAATCAAGAAAGGACAAACGTAATCAATAATAATTTGCCAAGAAAGCACTTCTAACTTATTTTGTGCAAATGATTGGTAATCGTTCCACTATTTTTCATACGTTTTATCATTGATATGTGAAAGTTTACTGCACCTATTACTCACCAAGAAGCTGCAAAAGTTAATTTGATTTTTTATCTATTTACGGTTCATGTTTGATTAACTCTTTTATCGTGTTTTACCTTTAGAAGTCAAGTTTTCTTTTTTAGGCTCTTAACAGGCTTTCATTATTTCAGCAATTACTAACAATGAAAAATTGAGACTTTTTTCCACATGCACGAATTTCAAATTTTAATAAGATGAAATGTTCATTCCTTATGTTACTACATAGAAGGTTATAAATTGCATGCAATTCCTATCCATCATTTAACCAATAAACGTTTAAAATATTATAAATAATATGATAGGGAATAAAATATTAAATAATAAGTTTAACTTGGAAATGAAAACAAATTAATTTGGAAGTTTAAATACATATAATTAAGAGAAGTTTAGCTATTAGATTTCTATAATCTTTTCAAAAAATTTCTATTATTGACATATCAATTTTTTTCAAATCTTATTCTGTTATTTTTTTGAAAATTTGACGAACTTTAAGGTGACATGATGATATTTATCATTTTTGATTTAGAGATTTCATTATTTAATTTTCATATTTCGAGTGTCACTATATAAAAGTAATGGTTCACTGTTATACTGTTTACTTCTTAAAAATTAGGTTTAAATTATTCAGTTATGCCTTGAGCTATATTTTTACGGTGCTTTGGAATATTTCCAAATATCAGTTTCGAAGTTTGATTTGTTCGCATTGAAAATAATCATTACTTAATAATACAAAAGTTAAAGGGAAAATGTTGTGGAAGAATGAAATTAATTCTTTCTCTTTATGACAAAGAATATTTTAAAAAAATTTTTATAAATTACAATTTTATCAGAAAAAATATAATTTGAAAATATGAGAATCAATTAGAAAAGTAATTTACTCGTTGTATACATCACAATTCATAAACATAAATTGAGAAATTGATAAGGCAATATCATCCTTTAACAAACTTTTCCAATTCATTTCCATCATCATCATCATCTCTCTCTCTCTCTCTCTCTCCATTTAATAGTAAAATAATTTTTAGCTGAAATGCTACAAAAAGAGGATACTCTTTTAATTTTGAAATGCTCAATTAACCATCATGTGTTATGTTGATCTCAATATATGTGTGTATGTATATATGTGTGTATATGTGTGTGTGTGTGTGTGTGTCTGTGTGTGTGTGTGCATGTGTATTGACACCATTTAATTGCTGCTTCTTCATGTTTCCTTCAAATGATGACTTCATTTCTCGTTATCAGAAATAGTTTCATCATTGATGCCAAAAGATTGTGGGATATGCGGTCGGCAAATGTTCGAAGTGAAAGAGAAAGTTTGAAGTGATAGAATAAGTTAAGTAGAAGGCAGTATCAAATCAAGGGAGAGTAAAAGAGAGAGAAATATAGGGAGAGTGTGTCATCGATTATAAATAATATGCCATCAACAATACATTCAAAATGCTTGGTTAAAATTTAAAAAATAAATAAAAATTATTATTAAAATCATTCTTTCGTATCTTTTATCTTTCGGATAATTTTTAGAGACAAAAGAATGATTGATATTAAAGTACTTTCAAATAGATATATTTCATATTAAATAGAAGAGAGTAAATAAATTGTTTTGTTTTATTCCATCTTCTTTTATAACAGTTTTGTTTTTCGATATTACTATTGATATATTGTGATCAATTAATTGCAACAACAGTTATCATACTCTTTAATCTATAATTCAATCCATTCCACTCTTTTCCACTTTTGTGATTAATTCAAAAATATTTCAATGAAGGTAAATGGGCTGTCATCACTGATTGCAATCTTCCAAGATGATGATTATTACTATATGCTATCAACATTTTATATCGAATTTTAAATAAAATTTAGAAACTTTGTTATTTAGAATTTTCCATTGATAAATTTAAAATAATCTCATATTTCACCAAAAATCATACTGATATTTGTATAATGATAGCGATGAAGAAAAATAATGCGAAATTCGTAAATATGATAATGATAGTTAGAGACAGATATGCTTCGTCATTGATTACATTCAGTAGAATGTCTATTTTGCTTTCAAGTTTTAAGTTACTTATGCAAGCGTCTAAATATTTTTTGAAAATTTCCTTCCAACTTCTTGTTAATATTACCTATCGATCGATCGATTCGTTATCACTTTTATGCTATTTATCTGAAAAAAAAGATGACATAATTGTACTAAGAAAACTAATATGTTAACAGACTATTGGGTGGACAATGATCAGATATGAAATAATTATGATAGATATGAACGCGTATCGGATGAAATTTAGCTTATCATACTGATACCATCCACAGAATCCTGTTAAATCGATAATTACTTCTATTATTTCATCAGAACTCACGGATTTATAAAAAGCTTTTCTTTGGATCTTACAATTGTGAAGCAAAAAATAATAATAAGCCATTCTGAAAATTAAGCATCAATTGAGAAAGGTATTCTTCTATAAAAATATAATCTTATTTGCTAACTTTAATTTTAGAATTCCAAATATCGAGTAAGTTATTTGATTTTATTTCTTAATTGTTTTATTTCATTTTCTTCTACACCTGTTCATTATTTAAGAAACATTTTTTCAGTTCCTTTATTGTTTTCAGTTTTATTTTTGACTTACTGGGACTTTCAAAATGAGAATACTTTCATTCATTCTTTCTTTTTAAGAAGTGTTATTTATTTCATTTACCAAAGAAAGGTTTAATGGAAAAGTTTTTCGATTAGTAAAACAAAAGAGTCATTAATTATCAATCTCTTGTAATCATCAACCTCTTCTTCGTTAATTTTGAGGAAAACGGAATTTTTTTGAGTTCATAATTGTTTTACAATTCAAAATTTATTCGTAATTGAGCAATTAAAAATATTAAAAAATTATTGAATTAAAAATCAAACTACGTATTATTTGCTTATCTGAAATTCGTTTTCACAAAATATCAAATTTCAGGGTTTCACATTGAGCTAACTTCAATAAATAGCATCTTAAAGAATGGGTACCAACATTATTCCTTCCAATCATCCAACTTCTTCCAGTAATATACAAAACTCTTTTAAGTGAATTCAAAACAAAAAACTGAGGTGCCGCAAATTTGGAGGCCTTAATGATTTGATAAAGTCAGCCAATCAATTTCTTTCAGTAATACATAAAAAACTTTTAAAACAAATGAAACAATCACTTGCAAAACTGAAGAATATTTGAAAGAACTGCTTCATTTTAATTAACTTCTATTCATAAAATATTTAATGCTTTAAGAAACTTTTGAAATGCGTCAATTTTTAATGAATGTTAATTTAACTCTTTTTACTACCTTTCAACATTACAGTAAAAAACAGCCAACGATAGGGATGATAATGATGATGATAGGAATGCCTCACTAAAATGGTTTATCATCTAACATTTACTGATTAACCTAACTGATACCATATTAGTGGAGCACAAATTAACTTTTCACCAACACTTCTAATCGTTTTTCCTGCTTTTCCATTGCTTAGCTGTTTCCTTATCTGATTTACAGGAATTTTTTTTCATCTATTCGATCATGTTATCATTTTGTCTTTTAATAATTTCAACTTAATTATTGAACTTCTGCCAATGACAAATTAATCTCGAAATAAGTAACTCTCTCGGAAGAGAGAGAGAGAGAGAGAGGGATAATGAAGTGCATATCTTTTAATTAAATATCAAATGAATTTGAGAATGTATAATTCAATCTTTTGCTAATTAAATGAAATTTAGAAAATTATGCTTTTTTTGTATCTTTTTCTTCCTATTTATTTATTAAATTATACATAATTTTTATTACTAAATACATATTTATATTTCAGAAGCATTCTCACACAACCAATACTACTGATCAATGAGGCATATGTGCGCAGTACTTTTGCGCACTTTAAGGTTCTTCCTCATTTTTCAGCTCATTCTTTGTGATTCTTCTTTATCTAATTCGATGAGGTATAAACAATATTATCAAAAACGTTTTAATTTAACTCTTTCTGTTCGTAATCATAATGTTACGGAAGCTAAATTTTTTCGTCTTATTGGAGTTGGAAATACTGCTGATTTTTTTGTCGCACCTGGTGATGTCTTTACGAAGTCTTATGAGGTAAGTTTTCAAAAGATATGAATTTAATAAAGTTTCTAATTTGAATTTCATAAGTGCTTTTGCACTTGAACTAACTGATAAATACGCCTAAGTAATCAACGCACAGTTAAACTTTTCATTTTATCATTCGTTCAATGAAATATTTTTGCAACATAAAGAAAAATCATTTCTGGACATTATTCTCTTTCTATCTCTTCTCCTCGTCAAATTAATCATTCAATTTCAGAAATGTCATACACATCAAGTTATTCATCATAAATTCTACTGATAATATTTCGAATATAAATTTACAGGCTAAACAGAAAGGCTTCTGGACGTTATTTGTCGAATTCCCAGGAAATCGTTATTCGAAATCCCCGAGGAAAATAATTTCCCGTGATTCCCATAACCACTGGGTTTGTGCTTTATATTTTTAATATATTTTTCTGCTTGCATTTATATTTCTTTTCCATATCCTTTCCTCTTCTTTTTAATGTGCTGCTAATGAAAATATTATGATAAAAATTATAATTGTATTAAAACTTATAATTGAATTATGTGAAGATAATCATTAATCATATCATACGACAAAAGGGAATGCTTTTTCTTCCATTCATTACGAACAATTAATATTATTGAATTGGCGCAACTATACTTTTGTAAAGCAAACGAGCAAAAGCTATTCATCAATTTTAAAAAATTGAAAAAACACTGGTAATATGAAAGGAAATAATAAATACAAAATGATGCTATGCATTAAAACGCTATGTGAAAGTTGCATTTGTTTGAAATATGCGCTGAAATTTATTTTGTTAATTATTAGTCAAATTAGTAAACAAAACAAGTAAATATTAAATGTAATATTATTTCAGATTATGGAAGTATATTATTATCCAGGAGCAGTTGGATTCAGTGACTGGTATCATGTATATGATGACATGCATATGAAGAATAACATTATCTATTAGGGTATATTATATTCAGGACTAAATGAAATATCTTCAAAGAAATCTGTATTTATGTTTAAATAAAATCTATAGCTAATGGATGTAATAATTATTGATGCGTAATTTTTTAACTAAGCTTCCCGCACTGACACTTACTTTATTTGTTTATTATACAAAACAAAAGTTTCGCATTCTAGTGAAATTGAAGAAATGTATAGACTTACATCATCATCTCGAAAGTTTTAAAAATGAAAGCGATGATGATTTGTTTTGAATGTTTTTAGGAAAGATGGACAAAATGATCCGTTATCAGCCATAAAATAATTATTTCTTTAATATTATGAAAGAGTAGCATTTTGACGGAAATTTTTCAACAAATTTAAAACAGAAACAACAGTCTATTCAAAAATTCGCATCATTCTTAAATTTTGTGTAATTACAATTTCATTTGAAATTCCACACTAATCTGATACAGACAAAGTTTAGGATAAAGTTTTACGTTCAAATCTGAATAAACGAGGGTAAAGAATTGAGACTTCAAGTATCACGTTGAATTTCGAAATATGTTTACAGCTTTTATGCTACAGTGCTAACGAATAACGCTTTTCTGTATTCACTATAATAAATTAGTAATGTTTCAGATTCTTCAGATTCTAGTAGATAGTAATGCTTCAGATTTAATCATTTAGGAATACTAGATATTTTGGCTGGATCGGAATACAATTAAACTTCCAAATTGGTATTGATAAGATTTAATATTCCCATTACATTTTAACTGTAAACCAGTTTTGAAATTTTATCTACCATATTTTGCACAGGACTTCGGGAGGCAATTAAAAATGCGCATGAAGTTCAAACATTTAATGTATAATAAGATAGAACATCCCGTCAAAAAATGAAATATCCGGATGGAGGTGTGTCTGCTGAATAATCTTACTGGTTTTCTTTAATTAAAATTCACTTAAAAATACAAAAGTTGATACCAAGCAGGGTATTCCGCGGACACTACATTTTTAGTCTGCGTACGTCCATACCGCCATGAGATACACACAGATGACGCCGGTGAAATTTGAAGTATTGATCTGATGATCTCAAAAATTATAAATGTCGATGTATTCATATTACACGAAATATTATTCATATTACACGTAATCTTCGAATTATATTCTTTTTAGATCTATCACTTTAAGATGCAGTTAATTATTGCTATCGAAATGACCTCATTATTCATCTTTTAAGTGCGTATGTGACAATTTCTGCCAAATGTGAGGAAGCTTACAGCAAATGGTACGTTTGTGGAAGAAAAACGTGCTTCAAGTATCACATTCTAGCAGTCCTGAGCACTAGGAGTAACTTATCCAGAAATGTAAATATGTAATTAACAAATATTGAAAATGAGTCCATTCCCTGAAGAGGCTGTCACCTTTCTACGCATTCGCGCATTTTTCTTACTCATCAGTGAGTAAATTAAAAAAATTGTCCTTGTCACTGATTAAAAATTGCACATAATTTTAACAGCACTGATTACAATAAAATTCCGATATTATATGTTGAAACAATGCACTTATTAGTAAATGTAGAAAGGAACTTGCAAATCAATAAAATTTCGATAAAGCACACATTGTAAAGATGAAGAGAAGCATGGGAAGATATCAAGCTTTAACGAAGAAGAAAACTGAAATTGCTAGAGACTCTCTAAATATAAGAAAAATCTGTATCCCAAAATATTAAATTTGAAAAATCTTAATAAATGCAAAGAATCTGAAAACAACAATGAATCAATCTTATAAAGAAACAAATTCCGCATATTTACCTGTGTTAAAAAAAAGCTATAACTCTTCCAGTAAACTAACAGTAGAATTGTAAAAACACAAAAAAAGTTATTACACAGTGCCCGCAAGTCACCAAACAATATAACTAGAATATATTTGAATTCCTATTCATATAAAAGTGGGGGATAAGTGCAAGAAATACATGCAAAATTTCCTATTTCCTGTCTAGCTGGCCGCAATCCCTTGAATTTTTCCTGGCATAAGAAATATTGCAAAACCACTAGAATACAGAGCCTATAACAGCTAAATATCACCCGATAAGTCATAAATAACAATCAACTTTGGCACTCACTGATTTTCTTATCAGTCTTTAACATCAAGACCTACAGCATGCAACGAGTAGTCATATAACTTGGCACATTTCTTCTCCCAATCAGCCATTTCAATGAATGATTTGGGTACACATTCACTGAAAAATAAAATAACCTTTTTTTGCTTAATTATAAAGTTTGCTTCTGTTTTAATTTCAATAAAAACGGATAAGATGTCGAAAAAAGTTTCTAAGCATTGAAATTAAAATTTGCTTAATATTTGCTTAGTATTTATTATCCAAACAATAGCTGTCCTCACTGATGAAACTGATAACTGATATTAAATAATTAACAAAAGCATCACTATTACTCTATTGAAAAGGTTATTTTAATTCTATAAATTTAAAAAATATACAGACAAAAATTTTTTAATAAAAATTCGAGGAAAATGAATGTTTTTAATACCTATAATAAAGTCCTGAAGAACCAGTTACAGTTTTTGATAAAGCTAAAAAAAGCGCAGTTTGGGCTCCATCCTTCGGAGTTTTTAGCAAATACCATCTAGAAGAAATAAAGGTAATAAGATAACTGAAACGACGTTGAAATTTTTCGAAATAAAAAATAGTGCGCATTCCTTGTTGATGTCTGCACTGATTCTATCGTATAGAAAAATTATTTCGTATGTAACTTTAGTGGGAAGGAATAAATGTACGAGCTGCAGTAAAACACATACCGAAAGCTTTAAACTGGATCGTAGTAGTATTTATGCCTTCAGAGCATATTTAGAATATTAAAAATAGTATATTTTACTTGAAATAGTATATTTTACTATGAAGTAGTGTAGGACGTTAAACTCCTAAATTTTTTTACAAGTACTTAAAATTTTCGATACTTTAAAATGAAGCACAAAATGAACAACCTGAATGGCGCAGTGAGATAGTTCAGCGGTTTTTGTAGTAGTGGTGTATAGCGCATCAGTCGTGTATTGCACAATCCAGGATGACATGCATTTATCGTAACATGTGATTCTTCACATTCTCGCAATCGTCTAGTCAATTCAAATGCATGCATTACCTTGAAAATAAATTGCAATTCCTTCATAGAACAACTGAGCAAGCCATTAATCAACAATGAAAAATCATAAAGATACCATAGCAAGTTTCGACTTCGCATATGACTGTCTCGAATCCCAACCTTCTCTACGATCAATCATTTGCAAATCAATGGGATCGGCATAAAAATGGGCTAATGCAGAAACACTGACAATACGCGCAGTTGGAGCAGCTCGAAGAAGAGGCAGAAGTAATTCAGTGAGTAAGAAATGTCCTAAAAACTTTTTGCTCTAGTACCAATGCCATTTGAATAACCGCTTATCAATATCAATATATTTACGTATTGTTGAGATGTTTAGGCGAAGTAATACTTAGAACAAAATTCCTATCCATATAACGTCTATGTGAATATGACCTACAACTAGCTGTTGCTGTAAGTATAGAATATGTAATTTTGACATCCATGTCGACTTAATATAAAAGTAACTGTTGAAGCGTCTGAAGATATTTTTGTCCAGTAGAAGTAACGGAAAGATTTAGCTTAGAAGACATATGTAATATCTTGTGTAACTCCTAAACTGCATAAAATGATTTGGTCCACAAAAACGAATAAACAACAAATAAAACTTATTAAGGAGATATAATAATAAGAAATATCTTTGTTAAATAATATTTTCACTCACTTCATAAATGAATATGATTAAGGGATCCTGCTAAGAAGAATTTGCAGAAATTCGTTAGCAAAAATTTGCTTTCTAAATTTTTATGTGTTCATAAGTAATTGGATTTCTAAATGAAGTAGAAAATCAATATTTAAAGATAAAAATTCAGACACGGTTCTACCCTAAAAATTTCACATTGTCAATTAAAATTCTTTCACAATTATAAAAAACGCAAAAATTTTCTGAGCGGTGAAAAATTAAAGCAAGCAAATTTTTTGACTATTATATAATCCAAGTAATTTAAGAGAATTATTTTCTTATTGTTTCAATACTAACCAAGATAATTTGTTTGCCAGACCAATTCATGACCATCATCGGTCAGCTTAAACTTTGGATACAGCATAATACCTGCATTATTGATTAGAATATCCAAATGATCTTCTTCTGCAATATAACTACAAAATTCACACACATAAATTGCTGGATTGAAGCTGAAAATGCATGCCGAGTTCAGAAAGCACACACCCAGTAATATCAAAGCATAATTCAAGACAAATTTTAAACCATCAAATATATATCAAAGGCGAGGACTACATATCAAAAAGAAACTTAAACCTAATAAGCTTTTAATTCATACACTGAAAAATTCCCACACGAAACTGACTTAAAGGTAATATAAACCTTCTATGATTTCTGCTGCCACTGCCTTGATTGATTTGAACCGGGCAAGGTCAACCACTTTGACTAGCAATCTCTGTGGATTACAACCAAGCTGAAAACAAGGATCAAAATAATTACTTTGTGAAATGCGTTGTGAAGTGATTCAAACTTGACACAAATATCAATTCTTAATTCCCGCCACATATATATCATCGACTTAGAGATCAATATTATTAAGCTCTAACATAATGTAACATAAAATTAGTCATATGCAGTGCTAAACCGATTTTAAGTTTATATAACAACGGCAAAAACATTCAAATATCAAATCTTTCTAATGTAAACTTTTAATCCAAGTCATTAAAACTTCCCATTAATTGCAATTTGCTTTCAATTTCAACCTTAACAAGTTGAATGATAGCATTCTGAGCTCGATCCTCATTGCGACACAACATGTACACCTTTGCTCCACGAATGTTCAACTCTCGTACAATCTGTTTTCCTATACCACAATTACAGCCTGTTACAACCGCTACCAAACCTTTAGCCGTGCTGCGTTCTTTGAATTGAGCACCTTTGAAATAAAACCTTAAACAAGAGGAATTAAACAGAACAATATCATAAAATTTGAAATAGGATATTTCCAAGTCTAGATCTGAAGCAACCAGAATCAAAAATAAACATATATAAAGAAACAAACATTTACAAGAAAATAGTACATTCTGTTTATAATCTCTCTCGAGAATAACTAACATTTCTTAATGTGAAATATGTTGGTTAAAAGAAGTTATTGCATAAATTTGTTCGAAATAATTACCTAAGCGCCATCACTATGACAATAATAAAAATCCATTTACAATCAAATATATTCAACGATTCTACAAACGAAGCTTCCATCCAGTCCTTAAATTATTTTCAGAAAACCTGCAAAACACTGGCATCTTCAAAATGAAAAACAAATACGAATCAAAACAAGAATGAAAAAACAGATAAGCTCTCAAGCATTTTCCAAATTTAAACGACGGAGTAAGAGGAAAGTGAAGAAACACTTCCTTTGGAAGTTAACGCATAGAATTACTTTTTAAATTGTTCCCGATGAAAGCAAACAAATAAAAGCACAAAATATCTTGCATTTTCAATAATAGGATTCATTCCCATTTTAACTTCAATCCATTCTGCACATCCAAATACTAAAGGTAGACCTTTCCCAGAAAAAATTTGATGGACACTTTTGCGAATAGAGAAATAGAAATTAAAATAGTTTGTACAATAATATTCAATTAATCAGTAGTCTGGTGTTGCTATTTTAACGCTTTTCCTAACAAATGGCCCTTATAAAAGTGATAGATAATTCACATTGAATGCTACAATTTAACAACAATTAAAGCCTCAATCAAAAAAATCTTGCAATTGATCAAAAATCACTGTTTAGTACCTATGACGTGAAAACTTCAAGAAGTCAATGATATACCGAAAAAAAATGAAATGAGAGCAAAACCTTCATAGATAATGGCGCACAATTTATCATTTAGTCTTTGATTATTGCAAATTATCTTCACTTTCCTTCGCGTTTCTGCATTTTTACATTTTTACATCCCTTTCATCATAAAAGATGTCAAATTTTATCCTTTTCGTAATGTATCATCACTGTATCACGAAAAGATCAGAAATTCTTATCGGTAAAAAATTATTCCCACAACTCAAAGACACAGTTTTGCCGGAAAACAGTACCGATATACGTACGATATGTTCTAAAATGAATGAGTGTAATAAACAAAAACATGGAATACAATTAGTTTAACATACAACACTTATAATTAAAAAGGTGTACGCATCATTCGCTGCGATGCAACATTTCTGGAGAGTATAATTGATTCTATCGAAAACAGCGAATATAGAATATTATAAATAGACAAGAAAACATATTTAGTAAAAATTTCTCAGAATTTGCTCGCCAAATCGACTGTCAGTAAGAAATTAAGTTTCCTGAAATTCCTAAACTGACAAAAGAAAAATTAGTAACTTCATAAATCGTCTCAAGAAAAGCTGAGCAATATGTAAATAGTAGTCTATAGTATATTATTGCTTTAAGAAGCAGTGCTTAGTCAACGAAGCCTACAGAACAGTACTAGGAATTCTTGTTTTATTCTTCCTCTCTTTCAGCAGTCATTTTTTTCTTTAAACTGCAATTTTCTGCAACAACCCAGATGTTTAACAGGATCGATATTAGAATGAAGAGGTTTCTCAACAGATGAACACGAACTGATCAAAAAAGGTAAAAGGTATTCATTCCATGCTATTTCAAATTAAGATAAATTGAATTCTTCTCTAGACTTCGTAATTCCGCAAAAAATTCTATGAAAAGTCATTCAATATGATATATTTTTTGCAAACAACAAAGACAGTCCTGAACATATCAGTGGAATGATATATCAGTCGATATATATTTCTTGCCATCTCCATTTCTGCCATTCATTTTCCGCATTACATTTTTCCATTGATAATGTTGAATTAACCATGGATTTAGCTGCTGTTAAGCACAAGTCGTTGACCATTATTTGCTCGTTTTTCTAGATACACAAAGTTTTTGCATTAGTTTTTGCATGTACGAAAATTTCTAGGTAATGAGTATGGGTGTTAACAGCAAGTTCTCAGCGAAGGAAAATACTGCTCTGCTCTTGTAAGCACTAGAAAAAAACCTGCCTCATCATAAACAAAAGGTCCATCAACTGTTCCTTTTACGCAATGCTTCGTAATTAAATTTCCATCTATAGGAGTTATACACCATTCTCCCTGTGTCAGCTGCCCTTTTTTGTTCAGTCTGATCAGCTTGAAAAAAGATTTCTCCGATAAAATTATTCAGAACAAATAAATTAAAGAACATCAGGCTTTTACATCATTCTAGACAATTAGGTGGAAACAAAATAAACACACAAAACCACACATCACAGATCTCTTCAATTTCAATGTTGAAACAACAATGAAATAAGAAAACTTGAAATCTTAACTCGTTTACCTGATTCCCACCATAACCATGACACGGAGTTGCGCCAACAATACCTGGTACAGATCGACCCATCGTATCAATGCATTTTCCTGAACAATGTAATATAAATTAGGCATTAAAAACAATTGAAAAGTTCTACTCCTCATACAATTGTACAAAACTACGATGAACTTAGATTCAAAACAAGACGGTGCATGTCAAATTATATCATTATGAAATGATGGTCCTTTAAGTTGATGAAACAAGCTGGAATAAAACTCCAAAAAAGTCAATAAAAACGAATAAGAAATTTAATTGAAAATAGGAATAAAACTACAAAATTCATAGAGAACTGTTTGCAAACATTATTAATATAATCCATAATATTTAGTAATGGAAACGACACAAAATAAAAAGAGCTGAGTAAAAGAAGTACCCGTAGCGTGATTTTTCGCTTCACCCCAGACATGATTTTCCGGTGGAAGGGGATAAGACACAATAACATCGTAAGCAACTTTTTCCATGTACCTTAAATTCTTGAAAATACCACGACAAAGATGTAAAAAATTCAAAATGTCAACGTTCGGTAGAAATCATCCGACACATATTTTGTTCTGGTTTTATCATTCTGATGACAGACATAGAGTAACAATGTCAAGACAAAGTGAATTGTGAATTTTAAAGTTATTGTAAACTTACCATTTAAAAGATTTACAATTTAGACTTTTCCTAAGCTCGAGTTGTGAACTTATGTCACCCGGTAAGCGATGCTTTGCCGACGGTTCCCGAATGTAGTAATATTTATCATATTCATCCATCCACGTTTTTATGACACGAACCATATTCTGAAACTTTTTGATGCAAATTTAAAACAGGTAAGATAATAGAAGCTATAAGAGCAAAAATTTTCTCTCTCATAGCTTTTATTATCATACCTTTACAAAAGCATTACCGTTGAAATAACTGGTTTTCCGGAGAGCTTCCCAAAACCGTACGGCATATGTGATCGGTACACATGGCCAACGTGAGAACATGGTACAAACAAAATTCCGCCTCCGCATTGCCAGATCTACAATTTTTTTTCATTTTTTTCTATGAAGAAGCAAATAAAAAACTCACAACTAGAATCTAGATGATATCTTGATTCAAAAAAACCAACTTTGAAAGATAGTTCATATTGTTCGCCCCCCCATATTTGCAATCCAGGATCGTAATAACCTAATTCTTCGAACCACTTCTTATTAATAGCAAATAATCCACCTGCATGAGTCGGAGACCTAAAAAATTCTAAAAATAAAGAATACTTGCACAGAAAAACAGATAATCATAGTGCTAACAAAGCGAAATTCGGTGAGAAAAACAAAAAATCACGACCTAAATGGTTCACTACTGTGTTTTCTTCGCGTCAATTCTTGTCCCGATATTTCAGTTTCTTTGTATAAAAGTCCCCATTCGAATATACCACTGCAATGAATAGCTTTTGAAAATTAAAGAATCTGCACCAAATATTGAAATCAATTTTTATATAAATTTTCCCTTACACAATTATGAACAAAATGAAGATGTGAAAAAAATTTAATAACCGGTAATGTCTATCTGCAGAACTGTAAACCATCCGATAAGACCAATCGTCTTTGTCAATACCATCTATAACTGGTACTGTCATGACTTTTCTAAAAACGAAATCACACACGTTTTAACAGCCAAAAGAAGTTCTGGATTTAGACATTCAAGCAATATTTCCTACTCTGAGAAGAATTATAATGCAACAAACAGCTTAAATTTAGACGTTCTACATAGCAGAAGCAACCAAATTATGAGAAAGTGTGAACTGATTAACAGTTAGAATCTATTCAAAAGTTTGCATGCATTAATCACTGGAAAAATAGAAAAGAAATAGCAAAATATTCTTGTAATAAGATCCATTATGTTTCACTATTTGACTTCGGTTAGGTCCGAAATATCTTGAAATCAATGCATTTTAATTACTATAGTAATCGCAAACCTGTTCTGACGTATTGGTGCCAGAAGTGGAGGTAACCAATTAATGTTTACCTCACAGTGCGCATCCAGAAATATGACTACATCACCAACTGCTTCTTTCGCTCCTATATTCCGCGTACGAATAAGCCCTTCGCGCTCAGTATTCCGGATTAATTTCACTTTTCCATTGAACTGCTTCAAGTAAATATCCAAACGACCTTTCAGATGCTCTGGAAAATGAAGATTTATTTCACAAATCATTAATGACTTAACCCAATGCTACATTAAAAAAATGCATTTCTTTCTGCATTAAATTCTCACTACTTTGAAACATAAAAATCATTTGTAAACTTACGATGATTTTAAATTAAACTTAAAATATTTAAACCACAATTTCAATGAATACACAAACCGAGGTTTCGAACTAAGAAATTGATGAGATTAGCATAATCATTGGTGAGGAAATCTTTGCGTACTCGGTATTTTGAGACCTCAGAAGCAAACTGTATCTGCAGCTTAGTGATAACAAGTTGTCATGGGATGGTACTACAATCGAGAATTTTCGATCTCATGCTCTAAACTGCTTAAGAGAGAAGTAATGTTTAAGATCTTAAAAAATCCCGTCCATCTGGAAGTGATATAACAGCAATAAAAATACGGAGAGAATGATGAAAGAAATATTAGAACCAGTTAGGAAGTATCGATGATTTACAACATAAAGTACTAATCAAATAAAGCCACATAGAATAAATATTAATTCATCAATTATTTTTAAGAGTGTTTGAAAAAACATATATATAAATATGATAAAGATGGGTAGAAAATGAACTGCATGAATTATCTGATTTCCAGAAAGACTTTAAGAAAAAATTTAGTCTACAATCAAGCAATGGCGGCATATTTATTTAGCAGAACGTTAACTAAAAGGTGCTAGTAGCAACGCATTTTATTATCAGTTAACTATTAAAACACATCACTTATTTGCATACACTGTAAAATTCTACGTTTTTCTAGAAAGTTCGCGTTATTACAAAATATCTTTTTGATCGACAATATTCCCAGCAATAAATGTTAAATATAAATCACCTTTGTCACTAAAATCATCAACCAGAATGATTTCCTTGATCAAATGTAATGGAGAACGTAATAAAACAGAATGAACAGTGCGTAGCAATGGTGTCCAACCTTCGTTATGAAAGACAATGACAATACTTACAGTAGGTAAATCTTCCGGGTAATGCCAATATTTGCATCTGAAAAAAAAGTCTACAATCAAGAAACTCGACGCAAAGCGACAAAATTCGAACATGCTTCTTGAATAACTGGAAAAAATTAATTTTTTATAATGAAAGCGAAACTCCTATGTACACTCTATTTAATTCTTGACATACCACTAAATTTTTTTTATAACACTCACTCATCCATCCTTACATCAGGAACACTTCGATTTAAGGAAATCATGTCGCTTACGTAGGTGTTGAAACCATATTCTCTCATCGTTTTCTCAACTTCCGGCAAAGTTTTATCAACAAAAACTGGTTCACCCATTTCTCCTGAAAGTAAAATTTTAAATAAACCGAAAAACAACACAGAAATTCATTATTCTCAGTTCGAGGTTTAAATGACATAACGGTCTCAGAGTCTAATTTTTAAGTTTTTTAGTTTTTAAAATAGTATGGCTTATTTACTAAAGGAAAAAAATAACAAACATTCTGATTAAATCATTAAATACATACCATAATTTCCTGGCTGCCACTGTGTCTCTTTTAGTTCAAAATTTCCAATTTGACCCAATTTAAAGATTGTATCCGGATCCGGATCACCAGGCAACTCATTACTATCACTTAGATGTTTCTGTTGATCCTTTCTTTTCCTACCAATTAGTAATTCTTCCTCGACGCTCACCCTTCTGCTGAATTTCAAGGAAATTTCTGTAATAATTGCTATTGATAGTGACATGAACAACACATTTTCTGCATAATAAAAAAAGAAAACACTTACCCACCACGCAGTATACCTATGGGCGCTTCACGATTATACTTTATATGACCCCGGATAACTTCCTGAAATTTTAGAGGAAAAAACAACAGTTCTGTGAAAAGCATAAATGAAAATGAAAATATATTAAATAACTTCAAATTTATTCAGTTCACGATGAGGTGATGAAGAATAAGTACGAACATACCTGGAACTGATTTAGATTATAGGCAAGAGTAAAAACAAATAACAGGAAGCACACTGCAAACAAGGACAATAAAGATGACCTGGAAGTAAAAAATTTCGCTAAAAGAATATTCCTGGATCCAAAAACTTCAAAATCTTCATCTCAAGCAACCAAAGCCAAGAACTGTACTAAGTTTAACAATCTCAACAGAATTCTCTTCTGATACTATTTGCTGCTGGATATTGCATCTCCAAACGGGAGAGGTTGTTTATAATTAGACTCAAGACTACCAAGGAATTAAAATCATGCAAACATGCTAACCAATGACGGAAGAAGCGCTGCAGCTCAAACCACCGTCGTTTTATAGACATTGCCAGTCAATTTGTCATATATGGATTAAATGAAAAACAATATGCAGTAGAATAAGTGAGTTTTTTTTTACATAATTCAATCATATTACGTAGAATTGCGGTATTCCAAGTGAAGCTGCTATTTTTTCCTCTGAATGAACTGAAAATTTATTTTTGAAATCATAAAAATCAGGTGAAACGCAAGCGAACCCAATAAACGAGAAACGACCAGAACATAAAGTCAAATAGTTGAAAGATATTCATGAGTACAGATCGTCTTAAGTACGATAGCACATAAAATACTTTTCACATAAATTAATTTTCCAAAGCTTCATACGAGTCGTTAATGCGCATCAAGAAGTACAATTTACAGAATATATTATAAATGAACATCGACATTCCGAAACTACTGAAAACAACTCACACAAAAAAAGGTAAAAAGTTCCAGGAACAATGGTTCCTCGCAATCATGCAGAAGCAGGAAGCTTCAAATTTCAAATTTTAACATTATCGAACAAATCACCGAAATCATTATAAAAATCGGTATGCAATAACTGCTGCTGCTGCTGTTGCTGCTGGTGTTTTTCAAGTCGTGGATCTGCTGGACCGGAACCATCGTCAAAATCCATCATATCTGCATTCTGCGAATCATTACCATCTAGTATACAATAGCTATTGGCACTGCTCCCTGCTAGAACAGCTGCGCTTTGAGAACCTGGCATCTCTGAGTTGCTTTAGGAATTCTAGGCAATCTATCAGCAAAGAAGTTTACTTGTTCGCCACTAGCGATAGTTCTCCCCACCGTAACAAAGCTAATCAAGAAGGACTTCGCTTTCTGAAAACGAATATTTGACAAAGAGAAATGTTAAAATTCAATATCGATAAAACCAAAAAAATTCATGTATTTTTGTGAAAACTCACACATCACCTTAAATTCTATCGAATAAATACTAATTGCTTTACTTAAGAATGATGATGTACTCTTTTATTATTGGACTCGTTTATCCCAAAGGAATTATAAAAACTCCAAAAACATTGAGATAATATATAAAAGAAAAAAGGAGGTCAGAAGAGCAGCACAGAAATACCCAAACTGTGATAAAACAACTGCTGATCAACAGAACAGCTTCGCAAAAAGCTTAATTTTATTTTCAAAAAGAAAAAAACACTGTCCCTGCAATGTTCTAATAGACACTGAAATGAACATATACGAGCATTACAATCACGGAGTTGGCCATACGAGGTTAAAATCAAAAAAAAAAAATCAGTAAAAACATTTGAATCATACACTTAATAAAAAAGAACAGGAATTCCAAGTAATATGGGATACTTCAATTTTGAAAGTCCGGTAAACACAGTTCTTCATCCATTAGCCGATTATTTATAACTTAATATACTCATCATATATTAAAAGAAAAAAGACAAGTTTGCAAAACATTCCATTTTCTCATCCAACCAATTGAAAGGAATTGCTAATACGAATGACATCTGCGTCAGCTCCTTCGCTAATCGTTGGTATACTTTTTGTTTTTAATAATTTTATTTTGCTACATCTTTTTGTCTCTTGAAACATACAGTAGGAAATTAACTGACAAGAGGTGTAGCTATGATATATCTACGTGTTTTAAAAACACAAGTTTCAAAAGGTATACGCAGTAAAAATCAAAATTCGGTTTCGTGCAATCCTTTCGTTGAAAATTGCAAAGTGTTAAATATAAGCATGATCGAAATATAAGGATATAATTGGAATGAGCTGAAAAAATTATAATTAGCATGAAACATTCTTCGAAAACTTCAAACCATTAAATTTCTACATTAGTTAAACAAGTTTTTTTCATTCCAATAAGTTTTTCTGCGATTTAACAGCCATAAGCAAGGTCCTTCGTAGAAGACTTGCCAATATTGATATTCAACTTATACACTAAAAATAAAGAACTGAATAATTGCAAAATACGAAAAATCGGTCGGAAGACAACATCAAAGGGTGTCAAAGAGTATTAAAAATACCATTCAGTAGAATATTGGACACGAAACGAAACTTTGGAGAAGCAGTAATAATTTCCATTGCTTGACAACAAAAATAAAAACATAAGCTAATAGCAAAACTGCCTTAAAACATTTTTTAATACAAAAAAATTTATAAGCAACAAAGTGCTATAAGAAAACAAAGAACAAGTTCTTGGTAGTAACAGCTCAACAAGTATTCCTCATACCAAAAAGCAGCAATATCTGTTCATTTTTCTTGGCTGTAATAAAATTTCCAGAATGTATTTTAGCATCATATCCAGTTTCTGGTATGGCAGCAGTAACTATTGGCAATTTTAACAAATGCCAATTCTTATGCATTCGGAATTTAATGGCAAAACTAAATGATGCTGCTATTGAAGAACGGACACATAAAGCATGGCAATTTGGATAGTGAGGAGACTGTACAGTATGATATGACAGCGCTGAAAGAAAACCCAACACGACTGAATGACATCCAATAAATAATACATAAGTAACATTCAATGGCCGGATGTTGGTGATAGTTATCGAAATATGAAAGACCGCAATGAAAGTTCATCCGTCTTTCATCTATGATGTGATACTGAATGTCAAAACGTCTGTCAGGCACTCGACAAAGTCAGTGATCGCAAGCAGTAATCCCATGAACAAGTGTTAACTGCAGAAAAGAAACAGAAATTTCGGGAAAATCTGATGAAATTCCATTGAAAAAGGAATAAAACGAACTTGCGAAGAGAAGCATTCATTAATTAGAAACATCATCAACCGTTTGCTTCTTTAATTATCAATTTTACGAGCATACACTGCAGATGGACATAAATCCACAGAATCAATCTGCAAAAAAAAAGTAACTCTAAAAATTGAAAAATCCACTTGAAATGATATATAAATATTTTGCGACCACATAAAATGTTAATAATAACGCTTGAGAAAAACATGTCGTATGTTTTATTTCCTATTTCAAGGCGTTTGTGGAAGTATGCTTTTTTACAGTGGCTCTGCATTCAACGGTTAAAGAGTTCTCTTTAAAAGCAGAAAATTATCGTATTTTATTTCCCAAGTACTATCAAAAATTATTAGAGAAGCTAACATTAAAACTCTACAATTTTTGTCAAATTTTCTACCTATATTCAAGTGTTATAAACACCATAATCCTTTTTATTAAAGAACAAACATAGAAAACTTACCACCTGTGCATATTCCTCGTTTGGTTCCAAAAACGAACCAGCATCTATAATTGCTGAATCTATTTTTGGGGAACACATATTAAAATATTTGTTACCATTCAGTACCGTTGTGTTTTTTTCCCAGAGTGGTGCATCTGAAAATAATAAAGAGCAGGAGGGGTGCTAGCCTCTCAATTGATTACCGGAATATTTAGCAGCAAATTTTAAAGAACGATACTTTGTTCTAAGAATAACAATACGATGATTAGAAGGAGCTATAACACAAAAAAGCTGTATGAGAACCTAACACAAACTTAGTAAAACAGCAAGAAACTGAATAATACCAATTATATTTTAGATGTGAGACATACCAATTATACTGTCGATGTGAGACAACTATCTAATATCATTTAAAAAAGGTAAAAACGACGGTGTATGCTACGTTTCACGATCAAATATGAATAATTTCTTTAAAAAATCCGTAAAGATTACATAAAATGTAGTAAATATTATAGATAAAAAAATCAGGGAGCAAATAGAAATGTATTTTTCCGCTTGTAAGATTGACTTCCACTAAAAAGCAAGAAATATATCTATTTGAAAGAAAGAAACAAGGAGAATTGAACAATTTTGATATTTCTTTAAAGCAACAACGCTATTTGCAAGTTAAATTACATGATGTTCTACTATTACAAAATTTATCTTACGTACTTCACCGTCACATGGTCTTTTCATTATGTCATTTCATTACTCGTTAGTTTTTAAATATGCTTACCAGGTGCGCTGGCATGCATAACTCTCGATTGGTATTTACGCCTTCTTGACTCCTTTGCTTTCAAATAATCAGCCCAAAGTGCGAATACAATATCAGATGTAACCATCCCACCGGCATGAGAATGTATGAAACATAACAGAAGAATGCTATCTGGATGTACTGCTTCGCAAATGAAGTTATGTAGAAGGTCTTTGTCTTCATCTAAAATGTTTTACATATCAAATAAATATAAAAATACGACACTTTCCCAACAGATGTAGAATTCATAACATCAAACGAACTAAAAATAACCAAAAACTGTAGGGCACTGCTAGTGCAAAAAGTATAAGAGTTTGCTTAGCAAATCTTTGCAAAGCAAAAAGAATGAAGAACTCAGCAGGTAGAATAATTTTAATTGATAATCTCGAGACCATCTCTTTTTAAATATAGAGCCTTCCTGTTCGATTAAAAACAAAAAAATTCTGTTATATATGTAGAATTTGCAAAAGGTATGTTTAAAAATTACGTGCTAGTAATGCCAATCGTCGATAATATATCGCTTGCTTCTGTTCTTCAGATTTCTGAGTCTTTTTATTCTTTGTATTGATGTGTTCGCCGCATTCAGTTGTTGCACATAAACGACGCCTAAAATACCTTTCAAAGTACATTTATACCTCTGATACCGAAATTACCAATTCAAAGCGTAGATCTGAGATGAGCACAAAGATAAAATGTAACGTCATGACAAAAGAAACCATAAAAATCGTTTATTCCTTACCTAATTCTGGAATGAAATGAAACGCCTGTAATGTTCGAGAGATTGTCCCCAGATAATTCGTTCTCGAAAAAGTCATCATCTGTCAAGATTTTCTAACTTCAAAAATTGTGAAAAAAATATCAAAACAGCCAAACATGGCAAAAACCTCCTATCGTACCAGTTGATATTGCCTTGAAGGATGAAGAAAATTTTTCCATATGCCCGACTAAGTGCAAAAGACGTCAGGACGTATTACGCTTGAGACTACATATTCAACATTTGAAGTTATATCCGTGGAAGGAAAAGATGAAGGGGTAAGTGAGGATTTCGCTGGCAATCGGTGATCTGATTCTGTGATTTAATGCTATAATTAGCAGTATCGATTCTGGAAAATAACGCGAAATTGTTGAGTCAAACATGATAAATCCGATCTACAAGGAAATCGAGAGATGCTTTTTTTTAAGCGATTATTCTCCACCAAAAATCAGAGCGTTGTTTTAGTAACTTTAAATTGTCTTTCTTACCTTCAAAAAAACCAATGCAAATTTAAAAAGCAAATTTCTACATTTTCTGAACATTTTCCAGCATGCAGAATGACTTTTACTTAAAAGATAGATTAAATACAATATGAAACTTATCAAAAATCCGTAAAAAAAATTTTATTCTCAACATTTATCAACAAGTGATAAGAGAAGAAAATTCATCGTCTTTAACCTGCATAAAATCATGCATAGCTAAAAACAAGAAGTGAAGTCTTCTATATAATTTCGAAATAAATTAAACCGGGAAAGCTAAAGAAAATGCTGAACAAAAAATTGGAAAACTTTTTTCATGAACGAAACCATTGTTTAAGAAACTTTTCATACAAACTTACCATTATCAGAGAGGTTATCATCGAGCGATTCTTCTATGTAAACGAAAGCCTAAAATGTCTTCAAAACATTCATATGGTTATATTGTATTCTAACTGTGTAATTCATTGAGCACATAAGATTTTGCAAAGCGACAGTTTAAAAACTGTAAGCAAAATAATCCCAAATTATTGTTGCAAAATCGTTGTTGGAATCAATGGAATTCCAAATTATTTGTAAGTTCATTTTAGTGAAATTTTGGTTATCAGTTCGTCTGTTCAGGTTTTCAATTTTTCATTTATCATAAAGGATGTATCTGCGCCTACAGACTAATGCTCAATGTTCCTCCTATTACTGACACTCTCCGATAGTTTATAACAATATATGCCATAAGTTTCAGAATTCTTTTAATAAATAAACATTAAAAATAAGCACAGTCATACCTGGAGATAATTTAATATAGAACGTTCGCGAAATGTTGGCATGAATAATACGGTGACTGTATAAACTGCGCTGACAACATTGATCGCAAGCAATAGCAACAGCCATGCAGACATTAATGCAAATACCTATTCAACTATTTTTCCAGAAATGTTTCGCTCAATTAAATTAAGAGATTAAAACAGTTAATGGTCTAAAGAAATCTAATGAGAGCGTTCATTGATATGCTATTCTTCTGGATATCCTATCAACATTGTGCAAAAAAATAGACCTTTTCGTTAAGTATATTTATTGCAAGCGCACACTGAACTGTTTTGCGTTGCACGTTAGCAAGTTCATGCTTCATATAGTCACAATGTACTACTCGCGGAAAATATCCAGTGGTCGTCCAGTCCTGACCCGTCCAAAGATCTTTGAGTAACTGCAAAAGAATCTGACCAGGAAACTTAACGTTTCGAAATATAAAGTAATCCATGCTGTAAATGATCTTTCTTTCCATATAATGCAATAGTTTAGCGTTATGAAAGACTGAAGTTTTAAAATGGAATTTTCTTACTTCAAATTGGTGCCATTTCATTTAACAAGAATTTAATGTTTACAAAGTGAAAACGAATGTAATCATATGGTAACGATACATGATTCAAATATAACATTTAAGTTCGATAAAAAACTACTAATAATAAAAGAAAATGTGAATTTGCTTGCGAGAAAAAAGTATCGATACGATACAAACATTTCCTATATCATGATTGGTATTCTGCTTAATTAATGAAGCAAACAAACCTGATATCCCCAAAATAATGTCCCATCGCCTACAAATGTATTGACGACATAAAGTTGCAAGATTGTGTTTGCAATATTTAACAATTTTTCAAGCATGTAAACGAGCGATGAGTACCATCCAACAAGAGCAATACGTGTGAAGCTCATAAAAACGGAACGCCGAATTGGATAAACGACACACTACAATATTTTCTAATGTATGACATATATACTGTCAACGAAATGAGCAATTTCGATGCTCGCGACATGCTTTTTCAAAACACATGAAGCACATCCTCGGAGTTTCAAATATGTTAAGAGTACGTTATCTATTGGTTGTCCAGTATCGGATGATGTGAATCACTAACAGTTTAATAGACGAATAGATTAGAATGGCCAACTTTAGAACCAAAATGCTGAGTCACTTTCTGAAGCGCTCCATGCAGTGAAATCAATGCGAGACGCATTGGATAGAAGACTAACCATGGGATTCAAATAATACAAAATTCAGACTTCCATGAGTTCATTCAATCTATGATTTACATGGCTTGTAAAGACTGTCTCTTTTTTCTTGAATTGGCTACTGACTATCCTACTCATTACGCTATTTATTCATAAAAATACAGAAAAAAATGTACATCAAAATATATTTCAATTTCAATATCTAAGATACAACTCCATTCATTAAACGACACCCAACATCACTATATTACAGTTTAAAAGCTAAGATCAAGTTCAATACCAAAGCTTGTAACTTTGACAGCAGCATTCCTTGCAAAAGTACTACCTGTTCAAGATATCGCACCAGATCTTTCACAGCTTTACTGCGTTCACCTGCGAACATATTGTATATTCGAATTGATTCATCTACTGCGATAGCCATATCCAAATCTATATAAGGAAGAATTTTCAACGCTGGCAATTTTGAAGGTAGGAGATGTATCTAAAGGTTTAAAAAAAATTAACTGCAGTTCTAAAGCAAAGCAACACGAATACTTTTATGTAAATCGTCTTTATTCTCTTTCCAAAAAAAGAATTTTAATAGTGTGTCGGGTGTTTCATTTGATATAAAACAAGGTAAATTGCTTTAATTAACAAAATAAATCAATAAAAATAAATCTTGAAAAATAAATAATTCCGAATTTAAGTTTAAAATTTCATGGTTCAACCCGGCTTAATATATGGGAAAAAATGTATTACAGAAGAAAATGAAAGATTAAAGTAATAACAAACCCTAAAGAAGTAATTTAGAGTACTTTCACATCAACATTTCTGAAACTTACTGCTTAATTTTTGAAACCATCTCCACAAAAAATGCGGCACATAAAAGGCTAGTGCTTGAGCAGCCAAAAGAAATGGCACCCACTGCAACAAAAACTAAGAAGGTTTGCAACTATTCTCCTCCATTAGATCATTCTTTTTCAATGATTATTTTTCATACATCTTTTCTAAATAGGTCGCTGAATCATACTTTGATAGGAAGATATTTTTAACCATGAATCCAAGATTATAAATGATATTGGCAGGGACAAACAAGGTGCAATAACTTTTCTATAGGATGTGTAAGTTTAGTAAAGACAGAAGGTTATCATTTCCTTTTTCATACTTCAAAAATAAAGACAAAATACTATTGTTTCCAGATAATTACCAGAAGATAATTCGTGCTTAGCATAATCACAATTACTGGAGACCAAATGTTGTTCCGTAAATCGAATTTTACCTGGTAATAATTTTCATACTTTTTCTCGTGAGTTGGGTCGAATAGAGCAAGTTCCTCTGCTTCATATTCAGGTGGAGTTAACGAATAACGTTCTGATATGAAGCAATAATCATGTACATAACCAATCCAGGAGCCTAAGAATGAATTAAGCTCTTGAACTTTCTCTATGATGGATGAGCGCCTTCTTTTCTTCTTTTCTAACCAACTCAAAATTATCCGAACAAACACAAATAAAAAGGAAAAAGAAACTACACACTTCTTATCCTATTATTGGGTTAAGGACTTAAGATTTCCACATCTCAATAATTGGTTAATTGCAGAAGTTTTTTGCCAAATCACAGAATATTAAATGTCATTATGAAAAAAAGGCACTTATGAAGGAAAAGATCTCACAACGCCGAAAAAGGCTATGAACCAACCTGAGTATTGCCGATCGACAAGACAACGAATTGGCGCACCGAAATGCTGCTTAGTGCCGATAAGCAGTGAGAAAAATAATAATACCAATACTGTATAAAAATAATTGCAGCGATCTGAAACAGCACATCCAAAAAATCGCTTTACCCTCGAGAGCCAAGTCTGTGTTCAATCTGAGCTGCATTTTTTAGTACTACTAGATTTTAGCCGCATTCTACCAGCCTTGCATCCTCATCTTGTAACATCGTTTTCTTTTCCTGCTTTTATCGTTTATCACTTTATCAGAATCATTGCTCCAACAAGACTTTTCGTCTCTTGCTTGGAAAATGCAGTTAAATTAATATGCTTTACTTTAGAATGTAAGTAAAATAACTATGAGTAGAAGACCATAAATATGGCAATGGCATGAAATTAATACATTAGCCGAGATGAGAATAAAAGATGGTAAATAATAAATAAGAGAAGTCTTTCCAAACTGGTGACGATTTCTTAACAGTATATCAATCATTTTGATTAATTTCAGTTTGTCATTATAATTTATTATCTGTTTAAGGAAATAAACCTGCATGAGAAGCAAATGGTATTTCATCAGGGATATCTTCCCACTGCATGAATTTCTATCGAATAGATGTAAATCCGTTTAAAAAAAACTATGAGTAACTTACCAGGCAAGTCATCAAGTTGTGAAATGGCAACACTTGAGATGAACTTATCCAGACCTGGTATCCCGAAAAACATTTCGACAGATTGTTGGAACGTAATGAGATTTCGTTCAGACCTGAACACCTCGAGGAATTTATTAAAACGAATGACAACTCAAATGTAATATTTTCATATGCAGGAGACAATAATTTCTAGCTAATTTTTTCTCTAATTTGAATAAATATAGCAAAAAGCATTTGAATGATTGATTATGCCACGAAAGAAGAAATCGGAGTTGGGATTAGAGAAAAGTTAAGGTCTAAATCGGCAGTCACTAAGTGACAACTACTGAAAGAGGTTCACTTCGATAGGAATGTCCATTGCTACTGAAAGAAAAGACAGAAAACTTTTGAATAGCAAGTGCAAATATGAAACGAAATGGGAAATAACTGAAAGAAGGGCAAGGAGCTGTCGAAGATAAATCTATTCTTCATCTTACGGTAATACTCGAAAAAGTTACGGTAGTGGGCGCAGCCCCCAAGCACTGTCTCCTCTTCCCACCGGGGCTCATCGTTTACTTCTTCTTTTAATGCCGTGTCCTGTATGAAACTGCGTCATATCCGAAATGTGGTTCATGTAGGATTCAAAGAATACATCAATAATTGATTACAGTACTATAGTGGCAGTGACATTTTGTTCTCTTCTGTCACATTTCTCTATGCCCCTTAAGTGATGTCCTTTAACCCCGATGTTCCCTTGTTATTCTCAATGCACATGTTTTTTTACATTGAAACGAATATATAAATGAATCTTAATATACTAAAGTTATTATCATTGAAGAAAGATCCTATCTTACTTTGTTTTCACTCTTTCATATTCCAATCATTCCCTATTGCTTCGTCAACAAGTAATCTTATTTTGAATATACCGGAAAATACTGCGTTCCTCAGAAAATGATGAATGATTTTTCTATTCAATTATCATTTACACTGGCAATTTCTCATTTTTTTCTTCGAATGTTTGATTTACAATAATTAGCTCTTATCATTGCTAGAATATCGAAAAGCTAATTTATTACCAAGCTAATAGTATTTTTTGCATTCCCTACAAAATAAATCCCGATTTACTGAGAGTAATTGATTTAATCAAAACTTAAGTTTAAAAGCACTTAAGGCTTCTGCATGTTCATTCAAACAGACATGTTTTATGATATTCATCGAATATAGAATAGGCACTAGATATCCGGAAAATGCTCGATGTTAGTGTCCGCGCACTCTCGGTAAATCCAATGAGATATTAATCTCCAAGAAAATTAAGTTAATGGAGGACCGAAGAGGAAGAGATAGAGAATGAAACGAAGTAAGTAGAATTCAGTTCAAATTTGAACTATCGATGATACGAAATGAATACAATATATTCTCAGACATTTTGAGTAGCACAACTGTATGAATTGCAAATTTGATTTTTATTTATTATTGAAAGAACGATTATTTATTATTAAAAATTTGCTGCTAAATTTCTTGGTGTAATACTGTTGGCACGTTCGCTTAATTTTAGATTATAGTTAAAAAATGAAGTTCATGTTCTTGGCGCGTTGTTTTGTAGCAAAATCGCTATTGTTTGACGAGGAAATAAGTTTTGATTTTAGTCGTTGTAATAGGTATTTCATAGTTTCCTTCGTTTAGCTATTACAAAAGAAAATTATAAATAATCCGACCAAATGCTACCGTTAATTTCAGTGTCTGTCCAAGTTTCGACCTTATCTCCAGGATCATGATGATTCGGACCAAAAAACGATCCATAAAATTGTAGCACGAATAGTGACGAAGAGATATGCAAGAGTTGCGTAGTTATCTAAGAATGACGTAGAAAATTATTGTATGTTCTCGCGGTATTTTATTTTCGAAATTATATTTTCATGCTGTTTGAAACCGAATTTTAGTTGTTTCAGTTCTTTCTAATCGATAAATTTTATTTCGAAATTAGGTGTAACATTCAGTTAATAATAAGAGTTACTTTTTTACAAATCTTTTTTACAAACTCATTTAACTCTTATTTTTTAATTGAAATACGAAGTTATTATTAAAATTTTTAAAGCAAAACAATCAATACAGTAAAGTACGCAAAAATTTTTTGATCAATAATCAGATAAAGGTAATTCTTTCTCGGGCACTTCTGCTCCTCAGCCTGAAAAGTTTTTAAACTTCACTCTTTAAAATTAATTTTGAAATTTCATTTTGATTCGATAGATTTTTTGAAACATAAAAGAAATCATAATCTATTGCTGCGCGGAAGAGAAATGTCGAAAATACTTTCTGTTGGCTCTGATACTTCGTAATAGTAATCCAGATTTCCGTTTAGCTCTTTTTCGATCATTTTCATTGTTTTCCACGAGTTCATCCAGTTGGATAAGTTTCATCTCGTCTTCTGTTAACTTGAAATCCATTAAATGACTTTTTGGGATGACATCCTAAACTGAAGTAAAATGTGAGGAAATTTAAATAAACTACAAAGAGAATAAATTATGCATGCTAAACTTCAAGTCAGCAATAATGAGAAGCTTGTTAGGTAATCACTTGCCTGTATTTTAAATGATGCCTTAGTGTGTGGTAGGAGGACGCGTGTTCCATTCCTACAAATTGTCGGCAATTGATTAGCCAAATCTGATGCTAACATGTGTGCGATGAATGTATTTCGATCCAATACGTAGTTTAGCTCTAGGAAGGATAATTATTGTTTTATCAACAAGGAATTCATCCATATTATCTATATAAGTGAAGCGATCTAACCCTAGCAATAACATCTGGAATCATTCTCATTTTCATTTCTCACTTTAGTTTCATTCATTGAAGTCAATTCCATGAATTATCGCTTAACAATTATGTAATTAACAAATACAGGAACGAAATTCTATTTTCATTGAGGTACAAGCAAGCTTGTAAATATTATTATTATTCCTTATTTGGGTTATCTTGATAACATGTAATCATTCTAATGGTGGATTCGATGAAATGAAGAGTGATAAGCATTGTAGGAGTTAATAATTCGAACCAATCATTGAATCAATGAATTAACCAGTGATGTATTTACACTAGTAATTAGGTTTAAAAATATTATTTAAAGAAAAAGCTAACCAAAATCATCGTCATCTTCACCGAATGGATTCATTAAATATTGGCCAACTTTAAGCCATCCAATGTAAAAAAGTATTTGAAGAGTTGTAAAAACTGGAAACAATATGGAGACTTCTTTTTTCATTGAATGTTCATCAATTTTCGGTTGGCGTCCAATCAAACAGATCATGAAATATCCATAGGTTGCTATTGCCACTACCTTTAAGGCTTAAAAATTTGTGAAGTTTTATGACAGAATCATATTTTTTTAGTGAACAAATCAAAAGATTGTTATTGTTTGCTTACTGTGCATTCTGGATTCAAAATTCTTCTGATGAATGTGTCCGTGTACTGTAGCAATGACCCCCGGTCTAAGGGATGCTTACCTGTGTATAAACAAGAGGTATCTTCACCCAGTCGTAAACAAACAGCATAGCGAAACCATCCCTAAACGAGTACAATTGCTGCATTAGCATATTGAGTTGTACGGAATCAATTCGCTGTTGTCGGTATAATGTTCCCAACAAATTTGATATCCACACTACCGGTACAAACCTGAAAGATTAATCGTGTAGTTTTCGGGAAATACATCGGTAAGTAATTACCAAAGCGTTCTTTTATTAACTGACTTTCAGAAATATTGAAGGCTTCTAGAATAGCTATTTATTTGGTAAGCCAACTGAGCTGATGCTTCATTTCATCTTAATGTAGTAAACATATTGAAAATTCCAGTTCAAAGTTTTGAATTTAAATCCTACCATTTGCCATATCTTGCCTCTACACCTGTAAACATTTTATACTCTTCTTCGGTCATCAAATTTGCCTCCACCAAATGTCGTTCCGTTGGAAATCGTTTTAGCGTACGAACCGATATTCCGGACCAAGCAATAGCTGACTAAAATAAAATATTTTCACATCTTAAATAATATCTCTTATGTATCAATGAATTATTGTTGTAAAACAGTTTGTAAAAATAATATCTTGTCTCATTTATGAACTATTTTTCAGAATGTACCTGTAAACTAGACCATCTTGCAATAGCTTGTCGAATGGGCAAATTATGATCACCAGGTAAGCATGTTGCTACCATCATCATTAATTTATCAGGCCAACTGATATAATTGAATTGTTCCCACCATCGTGCTACCACAACAGCAACAAAAAAGCCAAGCAAAAAAGATAAGGGAATATATTGTGAGCCAATTTCACACCAAATAATCCATCCTGTGAAGTATTCTTTTTGCTTTTCATCCAGGTAATACCACTGCAAAAGATGTTCCACTTTTAATGGGAACGTAACATCTAATAAAAGTTTTTCTAAACTTTTCTTCGAAAAGTAAGGTTTTTCTGTCTTCAGAGAAATTTCATTTATTATTAAATGATATTCTGAATTAGTTCATCAGTGAATTCTTAGAATATCATATTCTTCAGAAAATAGAAAAATTCTGAATTTTGAAGGAATTAGACTAAATCAGAGATATTTTTAGAAAAGAGAAGTACTTTCTGTACGCTTATTTATTGCAATAACATTTATTTAAGGAATTTTATCATCGTAATTTCAATTATTTCAAATAATATTTTAAATGAATTACTTAGTACTTACATTTTAATATTTTGGAATCTATTTTTTCAAAATCGAAATTTTCTGCGTTTTCTTAAAAATAAATATTTAAATAATAAATTAGAAAAATTTGGGAGAAAAATAACAATGAGAAATTAAAATTTAAAAACTTACCTGAAAAAATAGAATAATATAATAAACGAAGTAGAAGGCAATTAAATCCTTTAATACCGCTTTCCACAACGATCCCCGCCATCGTAGCATAAATGAGGACAATCCCTCGCCATACGAAATCGTCATCTTTTCCAAACTTTAACATTTACAAAAAATATAGAAAAAAAAAAAGATATCTTTTTAATTTCTAAAAAAGCGAAACAACAAGAGTGTAAGACGTCTAATTATAATATAACTTCCTTAGGAATCAAATTTCTGTAACATCAATTACTAAGCTAATATTGTATATTAGTCAATGTGACAGATAAATTGAAAAGACTTAGGTCAATAGGTCAGACATTCATGCAATCGATGAGTAACATGCAAACAAGTACATACACGTGTGCATGCACACATAAATTGTGTTTCCCTATGAATGTATCGAGAATTTAACAATCTTATTGATAGAAATTTAAAGTGACAAATGTTTTCTGGACAGTCATCTTTTTTATTTCTTCTTTTCATTTGATAGCACAGGTAGAGAGAGAAATGATGAAATCATTAATGATTCCAAGAATTTGTGAAAAAAGCAAAACAAATTGTAATGTCCAATCAGTTAGTATAAAAGTAATGTTTATTAAGCATATAATATCAATCCAATCATTTCAACTGATTAATTATATATTAAAATTTAAGAAATCGAACTTATTATATTTATCAAATCTTATATAAAACTTAACTATATTCAATGATATTTTTCTGGTTAAAAATTCATTGAGAAGAAACTATCAAGTTCTCTAAGAGGTCGCCCGTTGAACTTGTGCGTACAGTAGAAAAAACATGTTTCTGCATGAAATTCCTTCCAAAAATCAAAAAGTGTAAAATTTACTTACATCTTCACCTCTTCCTTTATTAAACGAGCAAAGTGAAAAAAAATTCAATCATTAACAACCTTTTATTAAAGCATTCAACATTGGTATCTATTGAATTGAAGGGTTGATTCTATGAATGAAATTAATCATTACTTCATATTTTGTATGCCTGATTAAAGGACTTTCATATTATTACAGAACAGGATCATACATCACATCATCATATTACAAAACTTTTCTACAACAATCTTCTTTTAATTCATTATTACTGTAAGTAATAGATTGATATAGTTGCAACTACAGTTCATAGCAATACCTTTTCGTTAATTAGCAATATCAACAACAATAACAAAAAAAAAAATGTCATGAAGTTTTTTTAAAAAAATTCATTACGGGAAAATTTTTAAAAAAAATGAAAAGTTAGAAGTGTGAAGAGAAAATGTGCAACTTTTATCAATATATCGCCGGTTGGAAGTGTTATGTTTGTTGTATAGCAATCGTACTTTAGACCATTATTGATATCACTGATAAAATAAAATGTGGAAAAATTAACATTTCAAAGAAATCACATCACAAGATGTCAATTTTCCTTTTTTACTTAATACCTCAGTCCACCATGATGGCAATACATGATAATATGCCAGTTATTTAAGCAGAAAAAATCATATTCCTGTAATACGGGAATATCAAAACGATACGGATCACACATTCGTAAGCACCTTCGACCAACACTAAGTTTTGATGATGTTAAACCAAATTGTCTGCAACATAATCGATTGTCTCGATTTTGTGACGCACAATATAATATAGCGGGTATATTATTCACAGAGCATTTCTTCTTACGTAATACTTTCAGTAGCTGAAAGTTGATTACATACAGTTGACATGCATGCGTATGTTAGTTACATTAGTATTCAGAAAACAATTAAAATGTTTAACTACTTCACATTTTTTATTATCATTTCATGTGAAGTTAGGAAGGCACCTATGGTTATTACAGTTTAGATGTAAAAGAAAAAAGGTCAGTCATGAATGCCGTATGTATATTAGTATAAGACCAAGCTGAAAAACATACTAGTAATTGTGCCACTTCATGGTTTGCTTCATACCGGCATAATTCATGACACTCCGGTTCAACGTATAGATTACAGCAATCATAGAATATTTGATCAGCAATCTCCTTTTGAACACATGGCGCAAATTCTGCATTAAGTGTACCACATTCCTGAAAAGACTACAACGTAATGAAAAACTAACGTACCGGGTAAGCCTGGACAATATTGTATATATATATATATATATGTACACCTTCATCTAAAACTTTTCAGATATATTATATCTGAAATGCGAATACTGAATAACTGGAATAAGACCACCTCATTAATGGATATTCCCCTTAATTTATCGCTCACTTCATTCCCGTTATTATCGTGATTAATAGTGGATCCGTCAACCGAATCCATAGCAACTTGTTCACTCTGTATTCTGTCACGGAAGCAATTTCGAGCTGCCCAATAATGGCACTGTAAAAACTGTTCAATTGAAAACTTTCATATTTAACATTTTAGTGTTATTTCTTGTTGAAGCGTAATTTCACATCAATTTATCGTGCAATTGTCCTATCTGAATGATAATACTTTATTAGGGTCAATAGCATCCAATTTGAAGTATGAAAAAGGCACCTTCTCAAAGCATTTATTGTAGATAAGTGGACTGCAGCAATGTTTATGATGCATTATGTCACAACGACTTCGAGATTTCCCAAGTCCATATTCAAAGTATGCAAATACAATGAAATGAATGATCCAAACAGATATCATTGCATCACTTTTTAGAAATTGCACCTTTAGACAAGTATTTATCACTTCACACAACAATTAATTATCACTTCTATTCAACAATTAGTTAAATTTCTAAAAACTAAATTAACAAAGAATTGAAATTGTCTCTCTGTGCAGTATGCCAGTTGAACTACTATTAAAAACATTAAAACACAAATTCAAAATTTCTGCATCATAGTGCGGTACATGCAACATATTTTTTATAAGAAAACAAATTTGAATAAATCTACTTGTGATACTGAACGATAGAGAGATGATCGATAATGAGTAAATATTGCATATTTCGAATAATAGCAATTTTCGCATTGACCAAAATTTCTTTTTTAAAAAAGATGAAATATTATGATGAGAGACGTCTCATCAAAATATTAAAATCATATTTTCATTTCATTTTATAATTGATGTAAAAAATTTGCTGAGCAACTTCTTCATTTCATATAGCAAACTACTTCTTATCTTATGCTATTTGTCGAATAATCACAATTTCTTTTGAAGCAAACAAAGGAAGCATTTATTTCTGCAACATCCATTCTAATAAAATCCATTTTAGTATTACAAATAAAAAATCAAAACATTCCGAATTTTTTGTTTCCAATCAGGAAAATTATTTGATATGATATTAATAAAATATAACGATTAATTCAAGAAAGTCACAATAATGAGAGAATTATACAAGCAGAAGTAATAATAAAAGTTTTTTTATTCGATATTATCGCATAATATTTAGTTGATATTTGATTGATTATACCATGAACGATTTATGTATTAACATTTTAAGAATCAATTTTGTTGGATTAACAACAAGAGAAATTAGGAAAGCTACTTAACAATAAAAATGATGAGACGCCAGCGAATTACAAAATATATCATTCCAGCAATTTGCTCCAGTTATTCACCTTTCCAATCAAACTTAAATATTGTTGGATATCGTAAGAAATGAATATATTTTATGATATCTCGATAGAAAACTAAGGACTTCAAAATTAAATCTGCTAAAATCTTAGAATGAACTTTCCAATGGGTGTTTCAATTTATAGATGGACAATATACACTTTTAAAATTCTTTGCTTCCTTTTGAAATTGAAAATAAAAAGTTTGTGGAGTTTTCCAGCAGTATCTGGGATAACAGACCAATTTGTTTCTTAGTTGAAAAATTATAGTGACGGTGTGATACTATAGAGGATTTCTATACCTTTGATGACCTTGGAAATGGAATGCTGATGGCGTCATAAGAAATACGTTACGTTCTTTTCTCCAAGGAACAACGCTCTGAACCGGTATTTTTTCAATTAACATGACTATCGCCATCATCGCGATCAATACTTTAGTGAGAACTTCTCGATCTTATTGTCCCGAGTTTTAATCACTCCTGTCAGGGAAGGACAACAAATTCATAAGAAATCAATTAAATGCTATTTTTAAAAAGTAATTTTTTTTTTTTGTTCGGGGTCAGTGCTTACTCTCTAAAGTATTCAAGCTGGGAGAAATACTGTTGGTTCCATCTATATTTCTAAGATTTTCTTTACTTAAGAGTATTAAACATGAAAGTTTTAGATATCGGGAGTATTTTATATGAACAATCTTGAACACAAGAACACAAAATTAATTTATTGCCACTTTAACCAGTAAAGCTAACAGAAAAGAGCATTACAAGCAAATAAATAAAACTGTTTGCTTAACAAATACAAATAACAAATACTTCTTCCAACCGTAGTATTTTCTAAATGGAGCTCGAATTAAGTTAAACCATCTTTGAAAGTTTGGATTTGTATATCATTTCAATCTGGTAATTCAAATGATTAGATCAGAACAGCAAGGAAACTAAAAAAAATTAAAAATTCCATATTCTGTAAAAATGTATTCCGCATTTCATCTATTTTGAATGAAAAAAGCAAACAGTTTTTGTTTGAAATTCTTTGGCAAGTGATACAGGATCCATCAGTGGAAAACATAAATTATCAAACTAAATTAGTAAAATAGTTTTCTAGCTTCAATGATCAATTTCCCCATCGCTGCTTTCCACGTAGATTTTATTCAGTGCTCGCTCATATTCTTCCCTTGTTTTCCTCTGCAAATTTTCGGTTTCTATTTGCCGCTCGGCTTCTTCAAGCAGGAAAGCAGGTATTTCTTGTTTATTCTTTTCAAGCCACTAAAATGTGAATAAATGTAACCAAAAGCTGGTAAAAAATCGATGACTTTGGACTTCTTTTGGAAATTCAGCGGGATACAAAGTTCCCTGAATTACTGACAATTTAAAACTATGTTGTCAATACTATAAATTAATCCATAATTTGAAAATTTTTCAAAATAATTGGTAACTCGAACCAATTAATGCTTTCGAGACCAGTAAAAAACATTCCATATCTTAAAATACGGTACAAAGCAGTACCCCGTAGAGAAATGGAGCCATGCTATGGTCCACAGATGGAGCAAAAAATGTAGTTGAACGGCCAAAATTTCCAGCACGTCCCGTACGTCCAACGCGATGAACATATGACAGAAAGCTTTCAGGCCTGGGTATTTCGTAATTTATTATCTAAAAAACAGCAAAATAATTTCATAATTTATTATCTAAAGAACAGTAAAATAAACATTAATGAAAAAGACTCAAAACCCGAAGAAATTCAGCAGTATGTAGCTCTAAATCTCGAAACCAAGAAAATTTCATGTCTCCAAAAGATAACTATTTGAGAAGACTCAAAATATCGCCATCTTAAATTTTTGATTTTCTGCTAATATAGAAATGAAGCTTGAATAATATTGAAAGTTCCATAAAGTACTAAATAATATACGTGTGATATGCCTTTGATATCCAAACCTCGCGCTGCCAAATCAGTAGATACCAGTATGTGGCAATCACCACTCTGCAAAGCCTCGATTGCCTCCCTTCGTAATTTTGCAGTAAGATTTCTGAAAAAGAGTGCCAAAGTCAACCTGAAATCCATATTACTTACGAGTTTATAATTTTAACTTCAAAGTACTTCATAAATATAAAGAAATTTTAACCTCAAAGTACTTCACAAATATAAAGAATGATAAGACAGCAGTTGCTTCGTTTTCCATCATCGGAACGATTCAAAACGTTGCAATTTCAAGATTAATATTTATTTTAATATTTCAGAAACAGAAGAGTACCCATGAATTGGATAAGCTTTATATCCTTTCAGCGACAGATAGCATGCAATAACTGTTGCAAAACGTTTTGTGTTAACAAAAATGATTGTTTTTGGCAATGATTTATCATCATCTGTAACAAAGAAAAAATGTATTGTGAAAGGTTTAGCTAACGAGATTAGGTTTATTACCTAAATGACTTCATAAAGAAACTATTTGATTTCCTTGGCATATGCAGTTGCTTATTTGTCTCATTCAATACTCATACTTTGCAGTGTTATATTTTTTAAGCTCCAGATTTTATGGTTTATTTGAAATCGATGAAGTAAAACTTTCCTTTCGTGTTGCTTTCCTTTCGCCGTCCGTACTCGATAAATGTATAAATTATATTTAGTGTATGTTCGCAGTTCTTTATTTTAGTTAAAAATTTGTAACTTCTAGATCCAAATGTAAGTTAGAAATGATCATCAATACTGATTACTATTTAAATAGATGTCCTGTATCAAATCCAACAGTGCTTCTCGCCTTTCATGAACTTCAACCTGAAACGGAATGCAATGTTAACTTAAATTTCTTTTTCGAATATCACTCCATGTCCACTTCAGGTATATCAAAAGTTGAGAATTGTCACGAAAATAGGTTTATCGATAACAAATCAATTAAAGTTAAAAGTATTACTAAAATTTAAAGAAAAGTTGGAAACCTGAATTCATAAAATTGATGAACTCTAAGAAAGTTCCAGTCATTTTTTGAAATCATTTAATTTACCAGGTGCTCAGCACAAATCCCGAGTAGAAAATCAGAGATTTAAAAAAAAGATACATTTAAAACTCGCTGTTCAATAAAGGGATTTACACTGTTCAGAGCACCAACAACAACTTTTGTGGCATTTGGCATTGAAAATTCTTCTTTCAGTTTAGCAAGATCGTTATAGTCCGTTGCACTGAATAACAGTTTTCGGAGATTTCGAATCTGTAATTATTCAGCAAAAAAAACAAAAAAAATTTAGATGAAGATTTAAGTTCTCTTTATGTGTTAATGAGTCAAAATCACGGGCCGATAATTATGAAGATGAAATCATAATCATTTTCTCTGCAGCAAATTACCTCCTACACAAAAACAAGGTAAAAAATAAATGAAACTGAAATAAGAAAAGTGAAAAAAATTTTAATTTACATTAAATTAAATATTACATTGTACAGCATCATTTAATTTCATTTTCCTCATTTTTATTTAACAATGACAGATGAAAAGAGCAGCGCACCAAGGATCAGAAAGTCGAAATTATAATCGGAATTCGCTGCGAAATTTGAAATTACTGCTGAAAACTAACAAAAAATGCTGCAATGACTTACCTCACGACACTTTGGTATAAGATTTTCGACTAAATCATGATAAAACCCCTCCATTTGTAACAGTCTGTCTGCTTCATCAAAAACCAAAAAATGTAAATGACGCAATTCCAACTGCAATGTTTTATTATAGAAATATTAAATTTAGGTTATGGCAAGTCAGAACTCGACTCGAGTGGAAAACTGCTTGACTGCAGGAATAACGACGACCTATTTCGCAAATTTTTTGAAAAACAGAAATGAGGGAACATAAGCTTACGGAAAATTGAGCTTTTCGAAGTGTGGATTTTATGCAATAAAACTGCTTAAGCATTGTAACCTAAGATGCATAATCCATAAATTTTGTAAAGTAGATAAAATCAGTTTGACTTACAACTTTATTCTGAAGGTAGTCACAAAGTCGCCCAACAGTGCAAATAAATATATCACATCCATCTTTTATACAGACAATGTTGTATTGACGAGGTATCTCACCGAAGCTCAACACAGCCGTGCAATTCAAATCTAAAAAAAACACTATATAAATTCTTAATAAGTGGTTACTCATTAAGTTTCAAGCTCAAGTTTACTGACTTATGCACTCGGTTCCTTTCAGTTTTAAAGCAAATATTCGTTAAAGTTCCTGAACTAAAAGTGTCGGATGAATTAGACTTCACAGCATATTACTTTTTTCCGGAAGAACAACTGTTTAAGAAACATTATATATAAAGTGAAATCTGCGCAAATGCTGAGATAACAAATTTTGAAAGTTTCAAGCACCAGCATTCAATCTCAACAATTCATTTGGATAGAAAATTTCACTCGTACTATTGCATATTTTTCAAAATCTCGCAATTCGAAAACCTCGATTTTAGATCAAATGAACAGGAATTAACATACCAGCAGATAATACTAGCGCGTCTTCATATAATTGTTCAGCAAGTTCCTTAGTTGGCGAAACGACTATGCAATAAGGATACACATTCCTTCCAGACTTAGCTTCAAAGAAAAATCTTATTTTATTGCATAAGTTAAAAGTCATGACCAAAATGCAGACAAACTCAATAAAAATCATTAAAAAAAGCAATAAAGAAAATGTTGTTTATGCAACGATAGGAACAAGCATGATAAGAATTATTATTGGCATGAGCGTAGTTCAAAAAATTTCAGTTACTAAAAAACTAACCTTCACTTTTTTGAGTTGAAATATAATTTATTACTGGTATTAAAAATGCCGCTGTTTTTCCACCACCTGTTACTGCATGTCCAATTACGTCGAAACCTGAATTTCAAACCACGAAAACATTACAGAAATGCTTTTCATGAAATGAAAATATATTTTCGAACGCCTATTGTCAGCGATATTTACTCTTGATTGAAAATGTTATAATTGCAGTCTTAAGTGTCGAGTAACGAGCTTGGCAGCAAGGATAAAGCAAATGTTTAGATCAGCTTACTTTAAGAAATGCATGATATGAAATTTCGCAATGAAATTGCTTACCAGCTTGAATTAAGGAAAATGTCGCTCTCTGTATTGGTAATGGTTCGGAATAATTCTTCCCCCGAATATTTTGCATAAGTGTTGAATTTAAGTTCATTTCTTCAAACGATCTAAGCAGAACGGATAATAAGAATTTTTGATACTTTCAGATCCGCTATACAACTATATAAACGATCGGATATATAACGTTACCAGATACTGAATATTAGCAATATCGACTATTAATGAGAAATAAATTAAACGAGCTGATATGTCTCTTTTATTTTTCAGTACGCAGTGGCGTAGATGAAGTTTTCTATAATACCCACAAAATCACCAGAACATTCTGCAGATATATACCATCGTTAATCCATTAAAAGGTGAAAACAACAGATGAAATGATAAATCTCAACTGAACATAATCAAAAATCACTACATAAAACCGTGATAAACAAAATAAACGCGATGTAACAAATCCTTCAAATTAATAATTAACTAACTTAATAACGGTAACGTTCTCGCCAGGTCCATCCATTATAATGCTCTCATTGAGCAAATAATCCAAGTAGTAGCCAGCTTCTGGACGCCTATTTTTTCCAAATTTTTTCGTTGCTTCCACTATATAAGGGCTTCTGTCTTCACCTTTAAAATAATGTTAAATAACAATTAAGAAAAGAAAAAAAGTCATCTTTTAAAACTAAGATTATTCTCTTATTCCATAATAAAGCAGCATTATAATTTTGGCGTAAATTACTCTAAATGAAACATATCAAGCAACCGAACTCGGTTAGTGCTGCTCGTAATTATTTTTCCACTAAGACGTGTATGGTCGTAAAAATTTCTATGTCTCATTTCACTTCGTGCAAAATGATGATGATTCATAAAAAATTATCATATCTCTATCGACGAGTTCGCAAATGCTTCAAAAATACTACTGATACATGACTTTAATAAAAAAGTTACCGAATTTTTGTGCATTGACTGAAGTTTCAGGATTATTCGATACCCAACGACCAGCCTCGTCCTTATGACGGCCGTACTTACTCCTCACGACATAATCTTCGTTGAAATTGTCCCACTATAATGGAAAAAACGTACAGGTAATGATTTTGAATTGCTGAAAAGATTAAAGGATCCGCTTGCACAGCAAGCTTTTTTTTCGATGTTTAGTAGCATAACGATGCTTAGAAATTTAGTAACATACCAATACTGTCCTAATAATCCTGATCAATTCTAGCACTTCAGTTCATTAACTTAACTTAGCATTAAGTTTTGATCATTAATTAAACATTCCTAAACTTCATTAGTGTACATATATTTTCGCTGTAAAATGAACTCAAAATTGAAGTAATAATGAAACAACAGCAATTTTTCTATAAAGTTAAAGAAAGCCAAAAGTAAAACAAACACAGCTCACTGAGAAGTCTCCTTCACATGATGCCATCGTGAATAAGAGTATCACAAATAAGCGTAATCCAACCTTTGACCCTCCAAACACTCATACAGATTGTGCAACACGGTCTTAAATAGACTTGTTAAACAGTCGCATGCTACAGATTGTGAAATAGACTTCTTCGAATATAACTGACCAGAATTGATTTTTAATAAGATATATCTGAATAGCTATAAATCTGACTTGAGAATCCCTCGCACCAACTATAATTATAAAGTCTTAACGTTAAATGCATGCCACATACGGACACTTTTACTATTGTTGTGATCTCGACAATATGAATAAATTCCTTCCAGTTCTGAAAATATTCACATTTTGAATGATTTAATTCTATAACTTATTGTAGCTTCTCCAAAATAATTTTTCAGGAATCTTTTTACGATTCAAGAAACTCTTCGTTATTGCTGATACTTTGCAAGGTTAAGATTCCATATAGTTAATGAAAAAAAGAAATTTATGACCAAACCAAAATTCTGAATAAAATAAAGAAATCAAAAAGGAATGAAGAAAGTGAAGAAGAAATTCAGATTTACTGCTTTATAGTACTCATTAACAAATTCCAAAACTATAAATAGTACGAGATCTAATATAATATAATTCTTCTTAGGTCTCGCTCTTCTTCACTCTTATCATAATTAGTGTTGTAATCACCTTGGAATATTACTTGCTAATTAACTAAGTTAAAATTTTCATGTAAACTATATTTCGAAATCTATAGTTTAGGAAAATTTTGGCAGCCGATGCCGGATTTCTCAGATTCAATGATCATAATAAGTTGTGATTTTTTGTGATTTTTTTACAGTTGTGATTTTTGTTACCGATTCAATCTTTTGTCAATAGTTGATCGTTTTGATAAATTTTATCAAATGAAAAATATTCGTAATTGTTATGTTATGCGTTTATTAGGGTAAACGAAGATTGTGTATTAGATTATTAAGTCTTCGATTAAATCGATTCTCATATTCCAATTCATCCCAACTATTGCTTTACTTAACGATACTATTTATCATTTATCATAAACAGGTCACTTAATTCTTTGAGTACGATATGAAAATGGATATTTTGATTCAATTTTGAAAAATATAATAATGATATTTACAAAAATGAATAAACATTTTACAATTTGTTTCTCGTGTGTTAGGTTGTCTCGGAATTACATCCTCGATTTTTGGAATGGATAAGAAACTTACAGTGCAACCTGCTATGGTTTTTATTTTTCTGTGAATGTGAAAATCTGACTTTTTATTATCACAATCTTAGCATTTTCTGTTACCAACATGATTTATAGAAACTACTAAGATCATAAGTGATTTCAATAACATTCAGCTTATGTTCCTTAAATTCAGTGGCACTTTTCAGGTAACATTTTCAGCACCTTTAACTGAACGTCAAGTAGCAGATTTGGATATAAAAAATGATTGGAATAAAGCAATCATTTTTAAAATGAAAACCACAAAACCGGAAGCGTTTAAAATGAAACCTGTTTATGGGCTCGTTGATGCTGGTGACAAGGTTTATTCATTTCTCTTGTAATCTTATCACATAAATTTAAACAAATAAGATCACATAGGGTGAATGCCATCTATCTTATAATTGGAAGTTTCTGAATTATTCAAAATGTCCACAAGAATAAAGTTAATTTTGTCATATCTAAATTAATTTTCAGTCATTGTCTGAAATTTACAGAAAAAAGTGATTTTGACATTAAAAAAATGGGATCCCAATAAGAAACCTAAGAAAAGCGATCATTTTACGGTTGTTATGGCACCAGCACCTGACAAATGCAGTAATCCCATGAAAACTTGGAAAAGTTGGAAAGAAAGCAAAAAATCTGAGGTTTTTCCAATGGAAATTGAAAACAACTGTAGAACGAAAAGAATTTGATATTGTAGTTTGCTTCGATTTTACAAGATGATCAAGCATTCCGTATGATTTCCGGATTGTCTGTACACAAAGAAAAAGATTCCAGAATAATCAACCGATAGCGCAGCATGATATATCACGCATGTGATGATATTTGAACCATTGCACAAAATAATAATTGGAGAAGTAGGATTATTTTCACAACATATTTTAGCGCATTCCACGTTATAGGCAAATATTGGTGCTTGTCGTCGGCTGGTGAAAATAACGTACAAAGGGATTGCGGTGAAAGAAGGAAAAAAGAAACCACCAAAAGCCGGGGTGACAAAGGCGCCAGCAATTAAAGCCGAGCAGGCTGAAGACAAAAAGGAAAGAAAAATCGGTGAGTGTAATCCAAAAGTAATTTCGAACGTATGTCTGTCAGTGAGCGTCATTATCACGATGTCAGAAAATACCAGAAGAAGTATTTTCCATATTTACATCTTCTGGACATATTTGTAAAAGTTACTGTTTTCAGAAGGAGCCAAGGAGGACGAAACTGAAAAGAAGCCGAAAAAGAAAGAGGAAGATGAGGAAGAAAAGAAAATAGAAAAGAAAGGCGTTAGGGGTAAAAAAAAGGAAGAAGAGAAAGAGGAGAAAGAGAAAGAGAAAGAGAAGGAGAAGGAAGAGGAGGAAGAGGAGGAGGAAGGGGAGGAAGAAGAAGAAGAGGAAGAAGAAGAGGAAGAGGAAGAAGATGAGAAACCGAAGAAAAAATCCAAAAAAGGCAGAGGGGAGGATGAAAAAACAAAGAAAAAAGATGTGGAAGATGAAGATGGGAAGGGGAAAAAAGAGGATGAAGATGACGAAGAGGAAGAAGATGAATAAATTATGGGCAATTTAATAATACTACTGTGTTTGTAGCAAACTATATCATAAAATTATTTATGCATCTCAGAGTTATTGTATCGTGGCTTGAAGATAATATCTGGCTATAGGGTTGTATGTTTATTAAGTTTTATTCTTGTAGACCATATTAGGGATGCGTTCTATTTCATCGAATAGATATATCTATCATCCAAGTTCTTCTTGTGATGGACGTAAAACTGAATGATGGAATGTTAGATTTACGTATGTGGCTATTCTACGAAGATCTTCAGTCTCATTTTATTTTCGCAGTCGTAAATTCATTCTAATTAGGTTTAATTTATTCCATTCTATAAAATTATCATACGATACATTACTTATTCCTGAAAGCGCTATAAACACACATACATACTCATATACACAATTGCTTAGCCTATGATCTCATAGTTAAATGTTAGCTTAGTATTTTGTCATCAATGTTCTCATGGCATCTGCCATATTAACTTGAATTTGGTAAATAATATCCATTCATAGCCTGAAATATACTAATCTTATCTCATGCTGTGGCTCATTTGAGAAGTTAGAGCTAATCTTAAAACAAATTAAAAATATTATTTAAAAATAAAAGTAGATGTAAAATAATTTTCACTTTGACTTTCCTTGCTTTCCAAGTATACATGAAGTGAACATCCATTCCTTCATATTTATATTAAAAAGTTACTGATTAAAATATCTGAAGGATATGTGAGAAATTAAAACTATTAGAAACTATCCGAACAAGAATAAATGTTTACTTCATTTATTGTTAAACATAAAATGGATTAATCAATTTTTACTCACTATTGTTAATTATTCCATTGATAACCAAACATTAATAATTTTAAATTTATCAATAAGATATCATTTATCAATAAGCAAATTCATTGGCAATTTCTTGAAATATTGTAAAGTCGAAAAACTAAACTATTATAACTATGCGTATTATTTTTAAAATACTTTTAAAAGATTTTTGGATGAATCATACAATTTTTGCTCACTTCTTCATAATTTCAAACAAAAATAAATAAATTACCTTTATTGATTTTTTTAATTTTTTCCCGCTATTTCTCAATGCACAAAAGCAATCATAGAGACGTAAAAATTGTAAAAACTTTCAGTAATGTGATTATGAAGAGAAATCAATACAAATTATTTGATTAACATTGTTTATCAGCGATAACAATGATAACCTATAACCTATGATTTAATCATTAAGATATAAAAGTCATAAATATGTTCTTCAAGTATACTAATTTTATAAGTTTTTAGTGACAGCTTATTAATAAATTTCTATATTAGATGTCACACGTCAATTTCCCATAACATTCCTCTTTTTTTATTTTTATTTTTCAATTCCTTCCACTACGCCCATTTAGTATTTCTATAATCGGATCATATCGATTACTGTATCGATCACTGTCAACTATTTCCAATTGAACCATTCGCCCAAACTTTTTCCTTTCCATTTCTGTAATTTAACAATTATAAAACTTTCCCGTTGTTTAAAAAAGCGAAATGTCAAAGTGTGTGTAGAAATTTTGTGAAATACTAAAGGTTTAATCATCGAAATACAATTAGTCAATAAGTTAACAGTTTTTCACTGATAATTTTTCTCGTTATCATATCTGAAAATTATAGCACTAAGTAAATTACTCGGATACTTTTATTTATTCAATTTCACTTCTTTTTTAATATTATTAATTAGCGCTTAAATATAATCATATCGCCAGTTAATGGAATTAGGATAGTGGCGTAGAAATTTCATTTCATTATGTAATTGAAATATGATAATTAACTTGTTTGTTCATACGCTTTTCGTAGTAAAATGAAAATAGGAAGTCTATAATTGATTCATTTTGAATGGCTTGCTCGATTATTATGACAAAAGTATCCGCCGTAGATGGATTTAAAATTAGGAACGAGAAGCTTTTCATATGGTAATATTTATTTATTAAATGTCTGTTAATTTGAATTTAATAGCATTTTAATTTTCTTTGAAAGCTTTCAGCCAATTTCTAAAGCGAAAGTTTAATAATTGTCATTTTGTTTGTGAAATATTTCATACATTTTTTTGCTTTAACTAAAGAAATTTCTATTATATTTCTTTTTAAGATAGTTTTTTGAATTTTTATAATTAAGAAATTATTTTCTTTTTAAAACAAAAGATTATAAAACAATGAAGTTTTTGAATGTTTGCAACAAAACTGGAAAACAAATCAAATACACTTATATTTTAACATTGTCATTTCAGTTTGTTGCAAAATTTTAATTTAACTTAAAACTTGCAATAGACAATTCAAACGATGAATCATCGTTATTCATTGCACATAATCATTTTACTTTGCATTAATAATTCAGTTTTGCATGTCATCTGATTTGCTGATAAATTAAAATGATTTTAATTAATTAGTTTAGAATTCTTTATGATTTAAAAAGAATTGGAAGAGGCCAATTAAAAGAACTGGAAAGATGGAAAGTGGTAAAATATCGATTTTTATCGTTTTTTTTTAATACAAAATCTAAATATTTTACATTTATTTGCACTAAAAATCATTCCAAAACATATTTTCATTTCCGACTTAATTTCGTGCCAGCCTTCAATAAATTAATTTAAATATTATTTTTATGGTAAACATTAACAATTACAGTCGATACTATTATTTGGTGTATGATTTGCAGAGCGATTTATTATTGATTTGTTTATTTGAATAAAATTTTTTTGTTAGTCTCAAAGATCATTGAGTTATCTATTTTTTTGGTTCCATATTTCGATATAATAACTAATTTTAGTCAAACTAAAAGTTTAAAAAAAATTAATATCTTGAATTTTTTTCTTTGATTTTTCAAGGTCAAAGTTCAAGGTCTCAAAGGGTAAAAGTGGTTAAGATAAAAGTTGAAATCTCAAAGAGTAAAGGTGATTAAGATGAAAGTTGAAGGTCTTAAATGGAGGAAAAATTATCAAATTCATTAAAATCTATTTAGAAAAAAATTATAAATAATAAGCTTACACGTTTTTCCATCTCCTTGATATTATGTTTACTTGGTGTCATTTATCCATTCTTATTGCCAGCGGTATACGAGCCAAACATTTTCTCCAACACAACAAAACAAACGAGTATTGCATTACTTAGGAAAAACAAAACTATATCCTACTTTGATTTCTAATTTTTATCTTTGATTTTAATTGATGCGAACAATAAATGCTGAGTATTTATTGCTACAGTAATAATACGAGTAGTAACTATGACTGATACTGTCATTGGAAAGTATTAAAATGATCAGTTGAATTTTCGATCTCTAGAAATATCGTTCAAACATTATTCCAATGATATTACCGATCATAGGATATTTCAAATTCATTTATAATGAGAAGTTTCTTTCTTTTTGTTTTTCTAAACTTTTTATTTGGCTATTTCGAATTTTAATTCTTATAAATTCCTTTTAAAATTTGAGCAAAATTATAACAGATATTTGATTCTAAAACAGTTCAAAGCTTATGATAAAAGAATTATTCTACTAAATTATTTATTGATCATATTAAAGTGAACTTTAGAAATTTTAATCTTTTTTCCATTTGATTCATTCATTCATTCATTCAATCCTCAACCAAAAATTAATTTTATATAATTTATTCCAAATGGCTTTTCATTTTTCGGCATTTTTTTGTTACAAATCCCGAAGAGAAAAAAGCGATGATAAAATTATGAATTTCCGGTGAAATCAAATCCGTAATTCCATATTGTATTTGTTGATCTTTTTTATTTGAGAACTCACTTCATGAATTTCCTGTTTTTCAAGTACGTTTGCTTTTTCGTCCTGAAAACATTTCTACTGCACTTGAAATCCTTACTTCTAAATTTTCATACATTCTATGGCATTACCTTCAGGATCACTTTCGTAACTTCCATAATTAAATTTTTAAGGTTCTACGTGATTTTAATATTTTTAATCTTCGACAAGTAGCATTAAGGCTAACAAACACTTCTTTAATTTGAATTTTGCACCGTCAAGATATTCCCGTTGGATTTCTATTTGGATTGCATTTCTTAATTTCCTTAATAGACATTTGCAACATTTCTTATTATTCATTGTCAAATGAAAAGCTTCAAATTCTAGCACAAATGTTCTGAAGGATCATTGGATTAATTCCTCCTGTTTTGTAATCGTCACTGTCTGTTGCGATTCTGAAATTCAACCTAATATCAAAAAATGCTTTAATGTATATGAAAGTAATTTTTTTTGTTACTATATTTTACTAGCATAAATGTTCTGAGGGATGCATTAGAGAATCATTTTAAATTTCACGTAAAAAAATTTATCTGTGGTACGTGCCGTTTTAACACAAATTGATAGAAATTTTAATAGAAATGTTAAAAAATATATTTTAGACAAATTCAGAGAAAAGGAAAATCAATGATGAATCAAGACGGCTCAAACTTACCGCATAAGCATTCTTTTATGGGACCGCAAAATCAATTGGATCTAAATGCGTATATGAATCGAAATCAACCATCTGGCAACAATAACTTTTATCGATTTCAACCAATTTCATCGCATCTGAGAGAACATCTTTTAGGTCCATTAACTGGCTCCATAATAGGATTAACAAAACCACCCGAATATGATGAACCGGATCCTGAATGCAATCCTAGATTGCAACTCTTCAAAGATTCAATGGCTGTAATAAAACCTCTCATGTCATCCAAAACATCACATTTATTAACATCACAAATAACAGAGAAACCTTCATCGATATTAAATAAAAAAATGAGAAAAGAAGATAACTTTACCACTGAAAATGATCACATCAAAAGGCCAGTCCCAAGAAAACCTCATAGTTTCTCAGGTGGATCAGATCAATTCACTTTTGGTTCCAATGAGTTTTCATTGCCAGCAGTACAAAGTTCAAGAATGAGCAGTGGTAAAACAAACAACAGATCGATATCAATGTTAGCAATGAATAATGCAACAAAAACTGATAATGAAATTATCGCATTAAAAGAGCAAATTGATTCTCTCTACTCAAAATTGGACGAGATTCAGCGCAAATGTGACACAACAATTCAGAATTTGAAAGAAAATAAAGAAAGTATGCTCAAAAATAGCAACAATATCACTAATATTGATGGTGACAGCTATGAAACTAACAGTACTACAAAATCCATTAGCTGTACGACAAACGAAAATCCACAGATTGATCAATTTACTACAACTAGCAATCAAAGCGATGGAAGGATATTGAAGCAGCCAATCAATGGAGTGATATGTTCAGTGAATTCTGCAGAAGAGAAGAAATTGGAACTATCGGGAAAATTGTTCGATACGTGGGAAAATAATAATGGTCAATTTAGAAATGCAGAGCTAAAAACTTCTAGAATTTGCGAGAAAAAAATTTCAAATGAAAGAAAAGAGGACGATGATATTATTTTGGTGGACTATTCTCAAGAAATGACCAAAGAACAATTAGAATATAATAATCAAAATTCCATAAATAATCATCTTGATGTGTGTAATTCTGTAATACCAACTGAGACAAACAAAAATCCTAATTCAAGCGAAAAATGTGAATTGCGATCTTTTGATGATAGAATGTTAAAGAAGGAAGAGGATAAATTAAAAGATCAGTATAGTAGTAGAGCTTCATATAAAACGGAAACAAAAGATACTATAATTGCAGTTAAACGAATTCACGAATGTTGGGATGCCACATATCCTTCATCTCCTCATATTAAAATGACAAAAGAGAATTTTGATACAAATATTCAACATGAAAAAATAATCGAAAGTAGTATACCTCATTTGCCTCAAGCTAATCATTTCTTACAAACACCAACATCAATGATTGGATTTCAACAACCAAGAATCGCTTTCCAACCACCCGTACGATTTGGACCGATGTTATGCTTTTCGAATATTCCATCATCTACAGAAAATTATTCATATTTTACGCATCCACACAATTCATTCTCACAATCAGAACCAGTTCCATTCTTAACATCAAATCATTTACCAAAACAATTCATACCAACGATGACCGCTCCAATGCAGGCCTATCAACACCATCCAAATCCCCTCCTAAATATTCAATTTCCACCAGTTGGTAATACAATGAATGCTACCACAAACTGTCCAACAACTAATACACGATCACATAATAATTATATGGCCAAATGTAAATTATCACTTAAAAATAGGTTAGTTTTCGGCTATTTTAAATTCTTAGAAATAATTCTGAAAATTTTTGTATAAATTTAGAAATTTTGAAATTTTTTAAAGTTTTTAGCAAAAGAAATTATAATAATAAAAGAGTTTATGATAAAAATGTATGATAGAGTACGTAATATAAAAAAATTTCCGTAACCATTAAATTAGAAATTTAATTTTATGCCAAATTAAAATTTAATTACAATTTACAATTTCTTTTGATTTAGATTAATTAGAACAAAATATAATATTAATTAGGAAACAATAATTATGAAATTCATCATCTTTCAATGATGAATATGCTAAGATTAATTAATTGATTTTAATGCATGACAATCGTCGATGGAGCACTTTGCCAAATATGCAAATTTCAGTTTTGATTCCTAAAAAAACGAAAAAACAAAGATAAATGTAAATAACAGCAAGTCTCTTTTAATATATCCTTTCCTCTAAATTTCTCAATAAATTTTTTCATGAAAACTTCTCGTTCAGAATAATGTCAACAACAGTTAAAAGGAAGCCAATGAATTCGAAATTACGAAATGCAAGTGCACAAACAATTCCGCCAGCAAATAGTGGTAGTACTAATGTTTCAAATGTTATCAGTTTTGATCATTTGACAAACGAACAAAACGTTCCTAAGGTTTGTTGAATGTTACATCTTCACTTTCAATTTTAGAAGAATTAGAATTTTACTACACCTTAATAAATTTTGTTGTAACTTTAATTCTCTTGAGAAACAATATAGACCGCTTATTCTTTAGCTTAATCAAAAAAGGAAAAGAAATTAGGATAGAAATAATGTAAGTACCATCAACATTGTTCTTTCCAGACAGCTTCAATTATGACTTATTTCATTCAAATTTTTTTTTTTGAAGTAAGAAGTAATCCATTTTCTCATTTTAACATTGTACCTTCTCATAACAAATTTCTCGGATAGAAGTAATTGATTCAAATATGCAAAAATTAAAATTTATAAAATCTGTTAGCACAATTTTTAAAAGATTTGCTTATCGCATTACTTCTAATATATCAATCTTTTTCCACCTTTGTTTGAGAATCTGATCTATTCATTGCAACTGCCAACATATCAACAAATGCTGGTAAATTTAACACTTTAATTGTGAAAAGTAAAAAATTGTTTAGAATTTCTGCTTGAAACAAAAATGAAAGAAGAAAAAATTTTATTCGAATATGAAAGATTCATGATTAGCACGAAATCATCTCTTGCGGTAAATGAAATTTCCGAAGAATTTACAAAGTTTTGATATATTTTATATGCGGATATTTAATATATTATAAATTGTTCCAAACTGTAGAATTAATTTCGGGAACTATTGTCCAGGATATGAAAAAACAAAGCATTCCAATGGGAAACTTGGAAACACTTTCAAGAAATGAAGAATTACAACGAATCCAGAATACGTGCGATGCTCTTACGATACCTCATTCTACAACGATGAACAATTATAATTGCTTTCTGTGATCTTTTATTATAAAATGTTTCTTATATATTTTATTAAATGCATATATTTATTAATAAATTATTCATCCTTGTTTAATTTCAGTTTATATTACAAAAATTTCTGATTGGATATTTGGCAGTACTTCATTAGACATCATTGTAATTAATAGTTATTCCATGTCAAACTCTGTTACAGCTTATCAGCTATATGGTAGATCCACGGTGATCAAAATAAAAATGAAGCGATGAAATAATAGCTGCTAGACCAAATAACCTTTACTGGGCACATCTTAGTAATCATTGCAAAATTCGGAAATAAACTTTGTTAATATCAGTGACCGTTCTTTCTCCTTTTTGGAATCTCGCAGTAAAGATTAGTTGCAAACAACAGGGAATTGCATAATTTCAACAATTTTATCACAACATGTAAAATGCCCAGAAAAATGTTGCTAAGTTCATTTTCTTTATTAATCACCGTTAAGTAAGAGCCCTTTATAAGTTCCTGATATGCACGAGTATGCTTGTAACAAAGCAATTTAGTTTCAGGTATTACCTAAAACAGGTATTAGTTTCAGGTAAAATTTGATAAGTTCGATAAACTGATAAATACAGGAAAAGTTATGTGAAACAAAAATCATAAAGACTGCTCAATTTGGATGATTTTCATGACAGAACGAAAAGTTTCATACACATAAATGTCAAAAGATATTGAAAATTCTTCCATGTTTCATGGACTTTGAAATACCAAAACTTCCAACATAATGCATCATGAAGTGAAGAATTGTTAGAGATGTTCGCATGTTTAATCAGTAAATAGAAGACATCAGACTGACTAAAACAAAAGTGCAATAGAAAAGTGCACAATGTCAAAATGCAACTTTTACTCATTGAAAAAATGAACGTTAAAGCAATTGCCTTATTACACAGTTTCTCAATATAAACACGAAGAACCAATCAATCATCATGTTTATCAACTCTGTCTAGGTAATTTCTCCATAAAATGCGGATTTTTTAACTCTTCTGTTACCACATCCAAACCACCGATCAGTTCACCATTCAAATACAGCTGCGGATAGGTTGGCCAGTTGCTATATTCTTTCAATCCTTCTCGTACCTAATTATGACTGCTGAGTAATAGAGACTATGCAATAAATTCTGCATCTAACGTTCAGCTAATGCACAAAAAATCGTAATAGAAGAGTTGACAACTGTTAGGCCGCATGATTATTATGCGTTCCTTCATGTTACGTTAGATACATTAGTCGCAGATAGTGTAGGGAGAGCCGACGGATAAGTAAGTCATGATGAGTCAGTTGGACAACAGGTTTTTGGTCATAAGTTCATAGACTTGTGACCAAAAACCTGTCGTTCAACTGACCCGACTCAATTTCTAATTTGCAGTTATTACAATTAAAGTATTCTGCTGAGACAAAGTGTAATCATGAAAAAAAAAATCATTTTTCAACCTACATTTCACCAGCTATGTAAAGATTTAAGAAAAAAATACATAACGAAAAATTAACCAAAAGTACCTCATCATCTTTAAGAATATCAAAAGATGAATAATTTGCGTTAATCCCATCCAGCAGCTCAATGATCTTTTTACTGAATTCTGCAAATTACACGAGAAAAAATTGAGACTATCAAGCATAATTTATTGAATAAATCATTAGCACTTACAAAATAATGAAACTTACTGCACTTAGGTGCTTCAGGACTTCCTTTCATGAAAAGCATCAAGGGAGTCTGATTGATCAATGCTTTTAATCTTCCATTATTGTTCTAAAATAACTATTCACTGTTTTATGTTATCCTTTTTTGAAGATAAAAGCGAAAAAAGCTTTCTAAATTAGTTTATAAAAGATATGGTTAAAAAAATGAATTTGTGATACAGATTTACCTTCAACTTCGGCAATTTATTGCAAAAGTCAGGGTTCTTTAACTCTTCTTTGAAAATATCTAGGCCACCAATAAGCTCTCCGTTCAAATAAAGCTGTGGAAATGTGGGCCAGCGGCTATAGTCTTTCAATCCCTGTCGCACCTGAAACTTTTTTCAAGCAAATGTCTGCGAGTTCATTTATTGCAAGATGTTTTTTCCCAAATAGCGAAAAATAAATCGATAAAAGAGACAAAATAGCTTAACTTTCTTTATAGCTTGATGAAAAATCTTACCTCATCATCTTCCAGCACATCAAAACTTGAAAAATCTGCATCGACTCCACGTAGAAGATTGACAATTTGACTGCTAAATCCTGAAATAAATTTTAAGTTCGAACATGAAATATGGCTTGCTAAAGACTCGGGATTTTGCGAATGTAGTAGAAAACAATAAACAGCATGAAATATTTTCCCAAATTTTACGAAAAACCAATTTCTTATAACAAACCGCATTTTGGGTTATCCGGTGTTCCTTTCATAAAGAGCATGAGAGGAGATTGAAAGATCAATGATTTCATCCTGTCATTCAAATTCTAAAAAAAGCAATTATAAAGTGCTGAAAACAAACTAAGTATCGAAAACTAATTAGAAGAATGTTCAAATGTAAAGAAACATTATAAAAGTATTTACTTGTCTATCCACGTATAGGTTTGCTACACTGTTTTCTAGCATAGTTTACTTCTACGAAATGAATGGAAAGAATTTTACACATCAAAGACAACTAAGTGACAACATTTAATAAAAGACCAACTTACAAAAATTTACATTTTTTTCATCACCAATTGGTTTTTTTGTCATGCTAGCGACGCCTTCAACAAAATTGTGCTTGATGATTTTTATTCTTAATTCAGCTGGATTGAACCCTTGTAAACGATCAACTTCTTTCCCTTTCTAAAGTTAATCATTTTAAACGAAGCAACGTATAAAAATCATTGGCAATGGATATTCTGTTGAATGCTTTGTTCAACACATGAGAAAAAAAAGAAAAAAGAAATGGAATAAGAGAAAAAGTTGCAGTTTTAAATGCATATTGCAATTTCAAATGTCAAATTATTAATCATTATAATTTGGAATATGATACTGAGAATAATGATAGTTGAAAGATAACTTTTTAAGCCCTTTATGTTATTTGCTGATTAATACACAAGGCTTAAAAAGTTATCATTCAATCATTACTTTTAGTATCAGATTGCAAATTATAATGATGCAATATGTAGTTTGAAATATCAAATCTGCTGCACTCCTTATTATGAAATAAATTAAATTCAATGCAAAAATAACTGATGAATAAAATTACAATCCCAGGAAATGGAAACCTTAAAAAACAGAATGGTTGGAGCTACATTAATTTTATTTGCAATCGATATTTCGGCAACTTCCTCTGCTTCAACTACAGCAAAATCAAAACACTTCATTTCATCTTCAAATTCTAATAATAAATTATTGAGCTGCTCACACATTTCTGACCATTTCGCAGAGAAATGCACCAGAGCATATCTGAAAGATATATTTAGTTGCTTTTAAAAGATTTCCATCATTTAAAAAACATCATTTAAAAAATTTCCATCATTTATTATATTATGTGTAGTATATTAGTGACTTAAAGAGCTTTGCAAATTTGCGATGCTCTGGAAGTTAAGTTTGACATGTGCTATACAAGTGGTGATATTAATTCCGCAACATCAGTAACAAAGAGAAAATGTTGCTCCCAAAGTGGTTAGAATGAAATAAAATCCCAAAAATGCTTTAAAAACATCCCACTCGTATCATTCTTTCAGTATAAGTATACAACTAATACTGGAAAATGAGTGAAGGAACAAACTCGGTCGTTTTGACGAATTGATTGAATTCGTCCTCGTTTTTCAGCAGTTTCCCCATATCTTGATCTGAAAAGCAGCAAGTTAGCATGATACCATTCCAACACATACAATTTCAGTCTTAATCAAGAGAGGAATTCAATAAGCAGATGAGATTAGGGGAGTCATGACATTCCCTGATCTTCCGAAGCACAGAACGGATGAAACATCTGTTTGGTCAGAGGGCAATTTTCTTTCAGATCCCTTGCACAAAGCATCGCAAATCCATGTTTACGCTTGTTGACTAGGACCACTCTTATATGATCGCTCATTCATCTATTATTCGCATAGCCGCTTGCTGCCTATCAGACTTATAAAGAAATTATTACCGACGATGCTTCAGATGACCCCCCGCGTCCTCTCTAATGTGACCAGAACTATTCTCTAAGCATCTGCTAATTGCTAATAACGCCAACACGAATGAACTCCCACATCCATCTACCGATTTCGGCTCAACCCTAATCGGCACTCAAAAAGAATGTCCCAACTCAGCTGCCCTTCCATCCCTAACTCAAAGTCATATCTACCACTCTATCCGTCTGCACCGTTAGCACACCCTCATCTCATTCCAAACTATTTCCATAAAACTAATTGCTCTAGATTATTCAAGTTTTTCCTTCAATTTCTATCTTCCCTTTGTATTTCTCCCAGAACATTCATCATTCCATTGGAGTCTCAAGCAGAGCTGAATATCTCGAGAGCACGGGAAAACAATGAACAATTACTAGAACCGAACTACCATTTATCACAAACGAATTTATTCCACAAGATTTATAGGAAGATTGCAAGTAATGAACTTTGACCTAATCTCTTTAAGCTGAGTAATTAGCATGATTCGAAGCATTTGCTCGGCGAGGAATTTCCAATGCTATTTAGTTCCTATAAAAACAGGTAATATTCATAGATTTTTGCAAAATTTAATCACATTATAGCAAGATTCCCGAGCATTCCCAATGTTTCTATGAATCATCAACGATCGCAACAATTTTCATTTGAATTTTATATCATAAAACAGTGATTGCTTATTATTTCATATTAAAATGATTAAAATGAATGAAAAAATATGTGTAGTTGTCGAAGGACAACGAATAGATTTGTTTTATATTATTCTATTCATGGAAATCACTAAAGATTTACTAAGAACATAGCAATATTTGTTACCAACTTCTCTTTCTCATTCATCTTTTTCTTCTACTTTAACAAAAATACATCATCTTTTAGTTTATTAAATTGTTAAATTCAAATCCATACTTTGTCATTCTATCAATCATCACTTAGCTGGCAATTACAACTTTGCTGCAATCTGAATGATTCCTTCTTTTTATTTTGATAACAGCTTATCATTACTTCATTAAATTGTCAAGATCAGACTTTTACTCTTTGTTGTTCTATCAATCATCAATTGATTGCTATTAAACTAAAAATAAGCTAAAATAGTAATTTATAGATAACATTGTCAAAATTACACATTTAAAGCTAAATGATCCAATTATTCAGATATGATAGTAGTTTGATATATTTTAATAACATAATCTAATGACAACTGCGTTAATGAATCTTCTTCTTTCTTTTTACTAATTATCAAATCCAATTATCGAACCGAAAAAAGGCAACATCAAGTTAAAAGGAGTTTATGAAGAGATGTTGTACATGGAAATATAATTGTAAGAAAGGATTTCATCAGCTTTCAGTTTAAATTATTACTCAATAAATACTTCTTTTTTCCTGAAACTCGAAGTTGACAACTACTTTGATAAATAATAATTTCATAAAATCATAACTGATAGTATTTAAATAAATTGCATCACATGTTGAATTTTATTTAATAAGCTTTGTCAAATATAAACATCATCACATTATGTCAAAATATAAATATTTCAATTAATGAATATTCATTTTATCATTCTGCTATTATTATCTGATTTTTGATAGTGAGCTGCAACAAATCTGACTTAATTTCCATCATTTCGGCTTAACTGTAAACAATTTCTACAATAATATAATCATTTCGATATTGCATAAAATAAATTTCTGGCCATTTTATTACACTTTATCCCATGCATAGGAAAAATTTCTTTTTTATTTGACTAATTTAAATAAATTACATTTGTCTTGGAAAATATAACATTTAAAATCGATATTTTACATCCGATTAAATTCAAACACATTGTACATCGATCACAGACTATGAAAAATAATGTGAAAAAGGAGATTATTGAATTATCACTCGACTTTAAATTTCTTTTGATAATTACTGTAATTAAGCCTACTGTTAATTTTACAAAATAAAGAAATTGCATTTAATTAAAATTTTATAAGAAATAAATTATCAATTAAGGAAGATAATTGTAGAAAATTTATCCATTCTAAAAAGAATTCACCTAACCTTTAAGAACAGGTAACAATTATTTCTATTCAAAACTGAACGACAGATCCATTTCTCTGTTTTTTTTATTCAGAAATATGATTATTTCGAAATAATACAAATGAATTCATCAAAAATGATGAAAGCTAATCTTATTTATGAATTCCTGCATGCATGGATGGGTAAAAAATATTCTCTTAAAGAATTCTATTTTAACGTTTTGATTATTAATATAACTTCACAATCTCTTTTGGAAAACTTCAAAAAATTTTACCCATCCAGGAGTTCATAAATCCTTTTGAGAAGAAATAGCAAGTTGGAACCTAATCGAAACTTGGCATTTTGTTGTACTTAAATAAAAATCTTTGGAATTAATGGTGACATCAACTGCGTTTGCAAGGTTGCACGAACGGGAAACATGAGTCACCACACCCGGTGTACTCAATAGTTCAACAATACCATTTCCTTGATTCTGTTCCGGTAATGCTATACAACCAAAATCCCAGTCATATACTGTCTTTCTCCAGCAAGCGACAGATATCGCGGGTTGAACTGTATTGGAAAATAATTCCGGGTGCCGAATTTGCAGTGCCTAAAAGGAAAAAGCATTGAATAATTTTGATTCCTTTGAAAACACCTGATTGCTTTGTTTTCGAGATTAATTTATCGCCTAATCTGAAGCCCTTCTGGAAACAAAGATGGACAGACTATTAGTTACTACCACTGATGAAAATACGCCAATGTAAGTTTAACGATTTTTTTGCTAAGAAAATTTGAACATCGGAAGTTTAGAAAGACATACATTAATCAAAGTTATAACTCCATCAAATGTAAAATTAGCTCGAATATTGCGAAGAATAATCTTTTTGGGTAGTTTTTCCTGAACAGCCCATCGATGCAACGAATTATCAGTGAAACAGGCGAAATATATGGGAGTCGCACTGCTCAGAATCAATTCCCGACATTCCGGCATTGCTTCCAAAACCTTGAAGAAAATTAACTAAATAGCTTAACACATAGTAAGCGCAAAAATATCTGAATTAATTACAACATTTAAGAAATTTTAACTTTAAATAAGGTAATTTAATGTTACTTGAAATCTATTAACAAAACTGACAAGTCAAGCGATTCATCTTAAAGAAATTTGAAGTTGTTCGAATACAGTCAGAGTGTTTAAATGATTGGGACAACTTTGGGATTTTAGGATTCATTCCATAGTTAATAAGAGGGAAGAACATTTTTGAATGTTAGATGGAATGAAACTAACAAACTGTTTAAGTCTAAGGTTAAGGATTAAGAAAATGACCAGGTGATCACGATAGTTATCGCATTTAAGATATGAGGTGGATGATTGCTATGAGAATAGAAAAAGATATATCAATCAATAGGAAAAATGAATTAGAAGTATATTTGACTGTAAATATTTCTTACATTTATCAATGAGCTATAAAACTTCAAAATTTTCAAGTTTTTTTATTAAAAATACAATCGATCATATGATTGAAATAAATTGTTTGCTTTGTGTTTACATTAGAATTCTGTGGGAAAAAAGTAAACAAATGATAGTTTAAGAAATGCGAAATGAAACTAAAACTTATCATTGTCTCTTTTTCTTGCTTATACAGCAAATTTTTAATCGAACTTATCACTAACCAAATCATCAATAAGGCATTGTTCGAAATGAGAAAGTTCGATGTTCAATTGATGACAATTTGTACGCATCAATAATTTGCGGAAATACTTCGATGATAACCGAAAACGGCATAATATGAATACCAAACGTGTAGCATTGCTGAAATTTAATAAAGGAAATTTTACAAAAATGTATTTATGAAATTTAAACAAAGAAAATTTCGTGAAATATACCACAAAGATATTTATGTAAACTATAGTTTGAGAAGTGAAATAAATACGTCACATTCAATTTATTTTCATAAATAGTAAATGAAATTTCATTTTCCGTTGCATTTGTTGTAAAAACATTAATTATATTATTAGTTGAGAGGAGAGAGGGGGAAAGAGAGAGAGGAATTTGAGAAAGTTTTTCTAATTTGTGAGCAATATTTAGTGCGTACAAATTTTCTATTGTTTTCAAACAGATAAAAGATAAGGACCGCTTCAAATTTTCAGTAATTAAATAACACCTATTCATTTATATATCAATACAGCTGCATATTGCAGACATTCCAATATCTTTTGCATCCGGGAACTAAACTTATAACGATTAAAATCAGCAGAACCTAACTTAACTATTCGACGTATCCAACTTCTTGCATATCTTAAGATCGCACTAGACCAGAAGCGTTTATCTTGCTATGGTCAAATTTAGTGTATTACTTTGAGTGCATTTCAAATTTACAAAACAAATTTCTCACGAGCTGTTACTTGTGGCAAAAAGCGTTGTGCTAAGATTAGGCAGTTTATTTCACAATACGACCTAAGTGGAATTTTCTGCATTTTCGATTTCTTTCTAATTTTCAATTTTCTAATTTAACTTTTGATTATTTCTTCTTTTTTATTTTTCACTTAATTCTTATATAATTTTTCCATTTTATTCAAAAAAGAAACAGTCTAATTTGAATTTTTATTTATCATTTAGTATTTTGTTCCTAAACAATTTCAAAAAATATTCTAAAATCCAATTAATTAATTAATTGATAAAATAAAATGTGAAAGAAAGTGACTTCAAATAAATAAAATATTTACATTAAAATTTTGCAAAAAATTCTCAGAGAATAATTCATAATATTATTTTGTAATTTTCAGAATAAAAGAAACAGTAAAAGAAATGTATATTTTTTGAAAATAAAGAAATTTCAAAATAACTTCTTTTCATCTAAGCTGTGAGCTTTAATTATCATCCTAAATACTATTTGTACAAACCAAACATTGATAACATAATCAGCTGATATGATAAGGTGATTCGACTTGTTGCATTGTTATTAAAATGACTGAAATCATTCGCTTTTATTAAATTACACGGAACTATTGAACTGAATATGAACTTACTCAATTTTGACCCAACTTTTGCATAAACTGTTATAAAGATTAGTAGTGATTGCAATACCCGAGAATGAAAGTATGCCATGAATGTTTGCTTCCTTGAATTGTTGTTCCAAATAATTTAGCAAATTTTCTGATAAATCGTTACGATCTATGAAAAGTTATAGTTCAAGAATTATATTCTCTTATTAATATTGTTAATAATTTATCGCTTTCATTTCATTCTTCCTCATTTTTTATAAAATTTAATACATGATTCTTTCTTATCATTCTTGCAGCATTTCAAAGTTAATAAAACCAAAATCAATTTTATCGATTGAATAAATATAATTGGTAGTCTTGACAAAAAATAAACTGACCACCAGTATAATCTTCATCCTTAAATAATTCCCGATATTTCAATACGGAAGATGTTTTCCTGGTGAATTTCAGAAACAATCGCCTTCTTCTGCTTGCTTTTAACATTAACGATGTTTGCAATCGTCCAAATGGTCGAGCTCGTTTTTCACACCCGCACATGCTAATTCTTAAAATATCCCATTAATTAAACATAAAAATCGATAATCTATCTAATGGACAAAATCAAATTAGGCATTTGAATGAAAACATCAAACTAATGCCAAAAAAAAAGAATTTCCTAAACAAATTTTTATAAAATTAAGTGTTGCATATTGAAGAAAAATAAGCAAAAATTTGCTACGATCATTTAAAATTCATCTTTTCCCGATTTCAGCAAAAAAAAAATCTTTCAAAGTATGATATCTCAATGCTTACGCCATTTCGATTACTTCCGGTCGACATAATAAGTGGACATTTCGTTTGATCAATCTGTAAAATTGTTTGTTGACACGCTGAGCTTGTAGCAATTCCGGATGGCTTAAATATGAGAATACTCGATGAATTACGGATTCTGGAAGACTTGCTAACTTTGTACTGTAAGTAATATTTGCATCCGAGCTTGAATTCATTTTCATGAATTCCACTGATGTCGATGGAATTCCGGATGCTTTTGAATTCATCTGAAATACAGAATTTGGCAAAATTCTATTAATTGTTCATTGCTGCATATATTCACTCTTCCTGAAACAAATTTATCGTAGAAAGAAAGCAGTAATGATTTCATTGTTCGTTCGTTTTATTCACTCATTTATTGATTGAACCAATTATCTGTCACAATTATCCACAAATATTTCAGTATTAAAATTTATTAACTAAATTTTGAATAATAATTTCCTAACATGATAATGTAAAATTTGTTTAGGAAATTAGAATTCCCGAAAAGAAAGTAAAGGATCAGATATTTTTAATTGGAAAGCATATGAGTAGAATGATCGTCATTTATGTTCAATGTATGACAGCAGGTGTTTGATTGTTATAAGAGATGAAGACAGAGAAGGATTAGGCTCAATGTGTCGATAACAAGTGTACTAAAAGGAGAAGAAGAGGAAGATTACGAGGAAGGATTGCAAAAGCCGGAATGTTGTTAACCAGAGAAGTGACCCGGAAATATAAAAATGGCAGATGATTGTTTGATCTAAAAATTTCGAAAGTAAGCTGAAAAGATGCGGAAGTGATTCTAGGAAGAAGCAGAAAGATTCAGGAAATAAGTGATGTGTTGAGGTATAATCAAAATATTTTATTCAGGAATATCTCATTTGACTTTCCTATCTTTCTGAAGCTTCATCTGATTCAGTTTTTCTCTTCTGGAAAACTTTTCTAAAGGTATATAAATTAGTATATGAAAGGAAAGAGAATCCTTTCTGTACAAACTGTCTGAAGAAATTATTATATCCAACAGATGTGCAGAAAAAATTTAAAAATTCTCGAAAAAAATATTACTTAAACTCTTAAAAGAAAAAAAGATAATGAAAATTATAACTTATCAGTGATGGACAGAAAAATATACATCAGTCCAATACGATAAGTCTATTTTAAAGAAATGTAAAATGAAAAGATATAAGATGTTGTAGAAGAAGGATAGCATTTCTATCGATTGGATATGAAATAGAATACAATGATCCAATCCATCAACAAGTGAACGATTTGAATGTCAGCTAAAGTAATTTCAAACAGGAAAGATTGTCAGTCAAAGAGATTCTGGAAGGAAGACATTAGGAAAATATTTGAGCTTCAACCGATATGAATGATCAGTTGCTTGATAAGATTGAAAAAAGTATTTTTCAAGTATACATAGATCTATCAATATCTTTAATATTTTGTAATTCTGGCAAACAGATTGCTAGAAATTTAAATTTATATTTCAAGATTACACCAATTGTATCGAGAAAATTTCACAGTATTTAAAATTAGATTTTGAAATATCACAAAGTTTTACACAATCAATATTTGAAGGTTGAGAATAAAGTGAGTATAAATTAAATCATTATTACATTATGTTATTGAGAGACAAAGTTAGAAATTTTAAAACGCATTTTGTTTTCTACACATGCCTCTGAATTAATCAATAACTTAATAGAGATCCAAATTTATCAGAAAATGATCACTCAAAATGATAGCTTAAGTTTTGTATGATAGCTTAAGATAAAACTGATAATCCAGGAAAATCTCTCTTACAGGAAATTTTGTTGACAACAGAAAGGAAGTATTATTGATGCATTTATCAACACTTCCTTTCTAATTTTAACAACTACTGAGTCAATCAAAAGTTTGATAGTTATGAAAACCAAAGTCAATAACAGACAGTTATAAAAGCAACAGAGAAACTGATTGCATATAGATAATTCATAAAGTATCAAAAACAAATTTCGTTTGTAAGAAAGAGCACTATAAGTAAGGACATCATTTTGAAAAATATTTACACAGCAATTGCCATACAGTTGCTGAATTAAGTTAAATGGTTTTGTGAAGATAGACTGAAAGTTACAACGTTATGATAAAATAATGACGATAAGGTGGAGACTAACGTGTTATCGGTTGAACTGCAAAACGGTATGATTTATCGGTTAGCATCTAAGTTTCTATTGCCTATTTTATTTGTTGTAACGGACAATTTCGTTACTGTATAATATCCTCATATCATATCCTAATCATATCCTACAATATAAAAAACAAATTCATAATGAGGATTTAAATTTGAGAAAAGAAGAAATTCAAAAATAATTATGATATGCAAATCTACAAACTAGTAGGCAACCACATTTTCTTTAAGAATTCAACCGATCGACAAATTTTCTGCAACATCAATAACATCGAATTGCTGTTTGTAAACAAAAGCATTAAAAAGCAGTGACCAATGACTATTTAATAAATTATCTGTAAATTAGAGGGTTACTTTGTTAATTTAAAAAAAGTGAAGCGAAATTTTTTCCTTCTTATTCCTTCATTTTCATTTTCTCTAATAAATGATTAACAGGTTGGCTAATTGACCTTGATACTAACAGTAGAGAGGAATTGTGCTTTTAGAGCGTAATCCGAAACGGACGAAATAAATGAGAGAGAGAGAGAGAAAGAGATGATTGGTTTACTCGTGTTATTTCTAAGAAACATTTCTATCTGTAAAAAGGGAATTTCCGTATTATTAAGGGAAATGGCCAAATTGAAAAGTTGAAAAGAAAAATTTGTGATGAAATGAAACTTATCTTTCACCAATTCTATGACTCACAGCGTTTCGCATGTATTACAAATTCTAATAGTAATATAAAAGTATTCATCTTCATTGAACGTTTTCATCCTTAATTCTGCGCAAATGTCTCAAAAAAAAACCTCAACGAGCGATTGATTAAGTTATAGTAATAAATTATGCTTGTGCTATTTAAATGAAATGAAATAAAGTAGAAAAGGAATTGCTTAAAATGGTTAATTACTTCAAAACTTAATTACAAGCAAAAAATTGAGGAAATATTTATGCTAAATGATTGCATTCGTTAAATGCAAAATTATCTAAATTGATAATTTGTTATCATTGAAATCATTGTAGATACGATTGAAAAGATTAAAGGATATCATCTCCCATTCCCAATGAATTATTCTTAACTTTTTCTCCTTCTTATTTTTTCATTCTTAACTGCTTCTTCTTAATGAATGAATTGGCTCTGGGATACATTTAAGGGGGACAATTTACGAGCTTCCATCAAAACTGTAAACAATAAAACATTCCAAACCAACACACATTAACTATCGGCGGCGACTTTTTTGATGATGATAGCACAAATAATTTGGTGAACAATTTTTCGAATGAAATGATGAGATGTTGGTGGCAAAGTATTTTTATTATTTGGTTAGGATATTATCTTTAATAAAGATATTGTAATGAATGAGAATGAAAAAAGAAAAAAAGGTAACTAACTGATGAATGGTAGGAAAAGAGGTTATTAAAAATTAGTGGGCAGTTCTTGCAGTTGTATGGATTGTTAATAATTAATAAACATAAATTAGAAATTTCCAATAGAGATTTAAGAGAGAGAGAGAGGGAGAGAGAGAAAAAAAATGAAAGAAATTAGATTGCAATACTTTTAGCAAACAGTTATGAGAAATGGTACCATCAATGACCTCTGTTATATTAAAAGTAAATTGACATAACTTTAAGATAATATAAAACCATAATGCCATTTCCATCAAATACTATTATTTTGATTATTGTCATCAGAGTATTTTTCAGAGAAGCCTGTAATTCCAAGGTGATAAAAAAAGGAACTGATAAAATGATATCGGCGGTAAACATCAAAGGTGTGTTAAAAGAGAGGCGCAAACGGAAATATTTTCCTGCTCAATCATCATCAACAGTGATGAACGCTAAAAAAGGAGGAATGAATAAAATGAAAAAATTGCAAACGTGATTTTTAAAATTAGATTTAGATTTGAAAAATGATTTTTAAATGATATGGTAATGATTGTAAAGAAACGATAATTTCTTATCTGATGATGTTAAATAATAGATGATAATAGTGGTTGCAATTAACACTCGTTAAGTTAGAGCTTTTAAAAGTTTGAATGTCTGCTAATAAATAACTTTGATTGTAATCAAAACTTTTCCACGAAAGCAATTAATGGTCCTTTAAACTATAAAACTATCATGATATTAGAAAATGAATTTTATTTTAAAGGAATTCCAAAAGCAATCTAAAAAAAATGGTATGATTCGACAAAACAAAAATATATTGTAAGTCATTATAATTGCTCCGAGCGCTAATGGCATCGTACCATATGCTATCTTCAAAACTAACACATAATCACTATCATATCTTTTTGTTTATTTCAATCTTGAAATAACTAAATTTTGTTGCGCTAACGATTTCTGTTGATTTTTTCACAAAAATTCCTCGGATGAAGTTATTGTTAGTAGTTAAAATGTTTAATTCAAAATACTAATTTAGCATTTGATCACGAAAAATGATAAAGATTGATATTAAATTTGATTAGCTTCAGTTATATTATCACTACTCATTCCAATGCTTTACAAATTATTTTCATTTGAAATAGACTTGATAATAAGTATGAAGAAAATGCACTGTTAACATATTTCTAATAATTAAGTAAAAAAAATCTAAATTTATAATATAAAATATAGCATGAAATTCATAATGATAAGTAGCGCTTATAAGAGTTATTTTATAAGCAACGATATTTTGTATTTTTGTCCTTCGTTAATGAGGAAAATTAGTGGATGAGAAGGTTAGTGATATAAAAAGGCAACAGTATGGAGTAGGACCGGTGTTGAACAATGATGATATCTCCTCTTTGCGCTTCTTACCCACCACAATGTTGTAAGTCACAAAACAGGACATTCTCTTTTTTCCCATTTTATGCAAATATTACTGATTTTCATTTCCTAACTCGTTTATGGCGGAAATGTTTTTTATACATAATTATTGGACAGTTTAGGAAAAAATTAATTAGATTTTGAATTTAATCATCTCTTCCATTATGGTCTTACTGTATTGCTGTGAGAATTTCTTTACACAAGAAGAGATTTGCAAAAAATGCAGTAGAGAGAATTTTCGAAGGGAAAAGCAATTTGTTTCAATTTGTTGATAAATGGCAGGTTGAAGAGACAATGATA